TTCACTTGTCGGGAGGACAGCCAAGTTGGAGCGGGCAGATGACACATTATTAACTTTGAGCATTTATAGCAGAGTGGGTGGCTTGCCAAAGAGAATCGTCTCAGTACTTCATGGTTACTAGTATCTGACAAATGCCTCTTATTGCTAGTCTGCACTAGAGCATTAGCAGAATTGATCATGTCACAAGTAGTGTCAAGACTTGATGTCCTACGATTATACTCAGATCATGTTGCTACTTCACGGGAATATTCGTCCTGCCACTGTACACTCTTCCAGAATTGCATGCAGAAGTCACATGCCTGTCACAGTTTGCAAGGGACAACGCGTATGCACTGCTTACGGATTCAAGCGGATGGAGTGCAGACCAGACAAGAAGACTTAATCCGGCTATTCAAATAGCTTGGGCTGCTAGACTCCTGGAAACATGGACAAGAATCTAAACCAGTCCACGGAAACAATATCACGCCACACAGGAAGCTAAATGGCAAACCAATCAAGTTCTTTGGTAATGAAGCCGTTCACCAACATTGTCCGGTTGCATGGCTAATGTCACTCAAACAAGACCAATGGATGTCACATGTACCTAAAAGATACGCTGTTGATCAACCACAACTCCAATACCACTGAGCAGCGTCTTCTATACAGATCCAATTAGATATTCAAGTATATGAGTGGAAGTTGCTGGTATAGTCTCTCCTAATGACCGCGTATTTGGCATAATGTTCTCTATACTACACTCTAGAGCTACTTACCTTTTCCGACATTGAACTCAGGCAGTGACCACTCACCCGCAGAATGAGCCAATTGACACAGAAGCTAAGTACCATGTGCATCCGTCGCAAGAGAAACACGCAAGTCTGCAAGTGAAGTGGATGTACACCCACTGATTTTCTCTTATGCCGATATCAGACATGACCTGAGTGAAACGTTTGAAGACTTGCACCACATTACTGCACAATTCCATATAATTATTGCGAGGTCTTGTGAAATGATTCTCAATGCGCACCCGGTCTACGCCACACGGAATACATCGGATTATAATCGCCAATACAGCTGCCTATGTCTGTCTCTCTCTGTCTGTCTGTCTCTCTCTCTCTCTCTCTCTCTCTCTCTCTCTCTCTCTCTCTCTCTCTCTCTCTCTCTCTGTCTCTCTCTCTCTCTCTATCTCTCTGTCTCTCTCTCTCTCTCTCTCCCTCTCTCTCTGTCTCTCTCTCTGTCTCTCTCTGTCTCTCTCTCTCTTTCTCTCTCTCTCTCTCTCTCTCTCTCTCTCTCTCTCTCTCTCTCTCTCTCTCTCTCTCTCTCTCTCTCTCTCTCTCTCTCTCTCTCTCTCTCTCTCTCTCTCTCTCTCTACCTATACCCAATCTGCGGACAGAACTGTTTCGTCCTTTGTGAACTCATCAGCGCAGCACAGAGAAAATGAGGCCGAACCTGATTGCAATGAAAAATAAATTTTCCAAAGCCAGATTTAATTTTCCACCTATCAACTCCCTTCTGTGTGTATGCGCGTGCAAGGGTGCAGGGTATATGCGTACATATCTTCTCTCTCTCTCTCTCTCTCTCTCTCTCTCTCTCTCTCTCTCTCTCTCTCTCTCTCTCTCTCTCTCTCTTCCTGTCTTTACCTGGTTTGTGAATCGGCTTTTTTTCGGCTCACTGTTTTATGAGCTCACCTCACTATATGTTTTTCTGCTGCTACCTACTTATATTATAGTAGTTGTCTGATGATCGTAGTAATATGTGAAACTGAAGAGTTGTGACACAGCTTCCAATCTCTCTTGTGTTGCTTGGGCTGCTAGACTCCTGGAAACATGGACAAGAATCTAAACCAGTCCACGGAAACAATATTTTTTCTCCTGTCTCTCCCTAAGAACCCTCTGTCTCTGAGTCTTTGTGTGTGTCTCTCCTTTTGTCATTCATTATGCCTGTGTGTCCCTCTGTTTCTCAGAAAGTCAGAGACAGATTCTGTCTCTGACTTTCTATGTCTCTCTCTCTCTGTTTTTCTCCTGAGTCTGTCTGTCTCTCCTGTTTTTCTCCTGAGTCTGTCTGTCTCTCCTGTTTTTCCTTAATGTTTGTCCCTCTCTTTCTGTCTCTGTTTTTCTGGATCTGATCGTCTGTCTGTTCGTCTTTGTCTGTCTGTTTTTGTCTCTTTCTCTCTGAGTCCGTGTCTCTATTTGTCGCTCTTTATGCGCATCCCTCTGTTTCTGTCTCTGTCTTTCTGTGTCTGTCTGTCTCTATCTCTGTACCGGCCGCTGTTCTGCACATAATTTAATCGTGTGGCACCACATACGTGGCTGTGTATTTACCTATGCGTGGGACATTCACACCCAAACACACACACGCACACACACACACATACACATACATTGTCTGTCTTTGTCTGTTTTTCTCCTGATTCTGTGTGCCTGTCTCTCCTGTTTTTTCTTAATGTTTGTCCCTCTCTTCTTGTTTCTGTCTTTCTGGGTCTGATCGTCTTTGTCTCTTTCTCTCTGAGTCCGTGTCTCTGTCTGTCGCTCTTTATGTGCATCCCTTTGTTTCTGTCTCTGTCGTTCTGTGTCTGCCTGTCTCTATCTCTGTACCGGCCGCTGTTCTGCACAGTCATAATGAAATCGTGTGGCACCACACACGTGGCTGTACATTTATCTATGCGTGGGACATTCACACCCAAACACACACACGCGCACACACACACATATATATATATATATGTACACACACACATTATCTATCTCTGTCTGTTATTCTCCCGAGTCTGTGTGTCTGTCTGTCTCTCCTGTTTTTTCTTAATGTTTGTCCCTCTCTTTCTGTCTTTCTGGGTCTGATCGTCTTTGTCTGTCTGTCTCTTTCTCTCTGAGTTCGTGTCTCTGTCTGTCGCTCTTCATGCGCATCCTTTTGTTTCTGTGTCTGTCTCTTTCTATCTCTGCGCCGGCCACTCTTCTGCACATAATGAAATTGTGTGGCACCACAGACTTGGCTGTATATTTACCTATGCGTGGGACATTCACACACGCACACACACCCAAACATACACACACACACACACACACACCCAAACACACACACACACACACACTCGTACGCTCGATCATACAAGTACATGTAGCACTGCAGAAGTCACATCTGAGATATTATTAAAACTCTCTCTCTTTCTCTCTCTCTCTCTCTCTCTCTCTCTCTCTCTCTCTCTCTCTATGCCTGCCGCTGTGCTGTCATACAGACAGTGAAATTGTGTGGCACAGAACACGTACATGACTGTATATTTACCCACGCGTGGGACATTCACGCATGCACACACACACACACACGCACACACACTACTACTACTACTATAGCATGACTGCCCACTGGGCAATGTCACCCCCGGAGGGGGCACACACACACATGACCTGCAGCAAATAACATTTCATAGCTACAAGACCTTCAAAGAAAGTCATGGTGTCAAGAAGATATACAATGTCACGTAGAAGGATAATTGTAAAACAGCTTGCTGTCTAGAGCATTGGTAATATAAATTATCATATAATACATGTAGTAGGGATACTCTAGAGAGTCAAACTATCGGATAAATTAATGGCAAGCGAGAGTCTCTACTTTTTACAGTAGAGTGGGTGGGTATGCAGACCAGCGTAAGTCATAACAAAAAGCGTAACAAAAATCTGGCAATGGATCATGTGTGAGCGACCAAAGAGGCGTACATCACATGTCCTGTACCACTATATGTATAACCACACACAAACATCCAGGAGAATTTCACGTACCGATGGATCTATCATGCTGCCGGGATCCCTCATATATCTCATACTGTGGTACATAACCCTCGGAGAATTGCAAGGACCTAAATACGGCAAGCAAATCAGGGATTTTAGGTGCAAGACCCGTTGTTCTAGTTGTCTAGACTGCACTGTGTTCTTGAAAATACTGGGCCTCCACGTTGTATCTGTTGATGTGGCATCCGTTGATCTCGTTTGATTAGTAGTAGTAGTAGGCATGCACTGCATTACATTTTGATGAAAGGTTCGATAGCTGATGAATGGGTTTATCATTTGGCTTCCTGTGTGGGTACTGTTTCTGTGGATTGGTTCGGAGCAATGTTCAGATGGTCCAGGCACCAGGCCAATTAATTATGGCAGTCCAAGCTAGTAGAATATCCGGATCACTTTCTCTCATCTGGTCTACACTCCATCCGCTTGCATCCATAAGCAATGCAAACGCGTTGTCCATTGCACACTGTGACAGGCATGTAACTTCTGCATACAATTCTGGGAGAGCGCACAGTGGCAGGTGCTGAGACGATCTGCTATAAATGCTCAAAATAATCTGTCATCTGCCTGGTCCAACTTGGCTGTCCTCCTGACAAGTGAAAACTGCTGGCGTCTTCAGGGCCATAAACACCATTTTTGGCATTAATCCAACGCCTCCCAAGGCTAGGCCCTTGCTCCTCATCTCTGCAGCTTCTAACAATAGGTCTGGCACAACGAAAAACTAAACTTGATACTTGGAGCTCTTAGTTCAAGCTACATTTTCAGAATCAGGAAGTTTCAAATGGCAAGAAACCCAGCTTCTCTTCACCATTGGCATCACGAGCAATGACCATTATCAGCCAGCAATGTTACTAGAGCAAATGCCAAAGGCGCTGGCGTGAACAGAAAGCTTTTCATGCAGCAACGTTTCTTTCTCAACAAAAACAAATAAAAAGGAAAGGAACAACAAAGGAGCAACACCGGGGATTTGTCCATACCCGGTACCCAGGTGTGTAGTCCCTGGAAAGCAGGGAGTCGTAAAATACCGGTATTTTACGACTCCCTGCTGGAAAGGCTCTCCCACAGATTCCAGTACAAAGCCTCAAAGGCCACGGACAAGTGTCCCGCTGAGATGCGGTCGCTTCCTCGGACCGCTGGGACGCGGACACCTCCGAAGAGCAGCCTGTGACGTTTATTTTTTATGAAAGAAAATCCGCAAAAATAGATAAGCTTGTCCCTTTAGTCCTATGTACTCTTGCTATTACCGGTAACGTAAGCTGGTAGACTCTACGTGTGTTCTGAGCTGAGTGGCTCTGGCAGCTTTTTTGTTTCGTTTTCTCGTTCAGTTTCTCTGGCGAGGCTGAGAGAACTCAGTGGAATAGCAGTACCGTGAGTTAGAAGCAGGGATTTTGCAGGAGATCAATAGTTGCAATACGATGTCGCTTTTAGGTCTTGGAGGCCGGAGATCTGCCTTCGCTCGCGTACGTGATTTGAAATAGCCAGTACTGCTCTATTTGAGTTTATGGTCATAATTATGTCATCTGACATTGGTGTTTCCACCCCGGCTTTCACAACATCTTCTTGCACAGGGCCTAAGATGCGTCAGCTGTATGTCCAGAACGAATTGCACAAGAAAGGCTGCAAATGCGCACAAGGTACTAATACTAGGCCATTCACACGACGTGCAAACATTTGCACGCGTGTGACCAAGATAACACGGGCAAACCGTGATCCAGTTCACACGGTGCTGGGCAAACTTTGCAACCGTCAATGTATCCATCGTGATTCGTGACCCCCCGAAAGTTAAATTTTGAATTTTCCTTTGTTCAAGCACTGCATTTGCAGTACGCACTTTCAACAACCGACACTTTTCCTGGCGTGCAAAGATAATCGCGAGCAAAAGGGCCTCGGCCAAGATAAAAAATCTGTTGCTCGCGTGTGTCCAAGTTTATCGTATCCGAGTAAATATCCTTGGAAACGGTACGATAAAAGTAAGTTTGCCCGTCGTGTGAATGGCCTATTTACACACGCTAGCTACCTAGTCCAGCGGCCCAAACTTCAAAAAAAAATTCCGTTTCAGTCTCAAGCAGACAACCTGGGTTCTTCACTACGGCCTAAAGTATGTATACCTGACCTGGATTCCGCTTGTTGTCATCTTCAGAGTTAGGGCAGAAGCTCAGGAGAAGCCAATTTCTCCGGTCTCGTCGGCGATACTGCGCACCATCTGGGGGTGGACAGTTCACGGAAAGGAGCGCCTTTTTCAAATTTTTGAAGATGACGACGACACCAACAGGATACTCTTTGAAATGTAGAATTGCATTTTCGTTTGGTAGTTGCATAGTAGTTGCGTTTCGCGCTGTTTGAGTGCCTCCTGCCCACCGCTCACAGCATGGTAGACACCTTTTGACATGATGGAGGAAGAGGCCGTGGAGCTTCTTAGGCCTCGTCCTGGGAATGGCGTTGTATCGCGGGAGTTTTGCTTGTGCCATTGCGTTCAATGCATCGCAGGAAAAGCAAACCCGATTTACTTTGCAGAGTTGGGAAACTTTGTTTGAAGCTGAAAAAATTGTACTTCTACAAAGTGTAAGCTTTTCAGAAATTCACAGTACAAGGTATTAATAAACTGCATTGAATAAATAATCCTGCAATTTACTATAGTGCCTTTCAAAAGTCCAGACTTCTACAGACTAGACTTTTCGAATAATTCGAATTGGGTTTGAGCTTTTTGAGAAATTTCTTCGGGATATTGCTCAGGCAATTCCCCCAATTTATTATTTTTTTCTCATAACGGTATAGATTTCTAAGCGATTGGATAACAAACAACCAATTTCGGAAAATTTATGCACCAAGTGATCACAGATTTTATGTGGTATAGATGGCTGGCCTAAAGGTTTTTGAAACCAGAGGTCTATTGAAACTCACTATTGCATACATTTCTCTATTATAAATGAGATGCGGGATCTAGGAATGGTGAACTTGGCTATTAGAGAGGTTAATTAAGATGCACGTTATTTCCAACGTGACACGGAAGTTCAGCTCGCGTTATTTGGCCCGCGCGTCGAAAAACAACGCCAGTGACCTGCAGCTCACGTCGAAATTTGGAGTTTTACGTCAAATTTGACGTGAAATTGCGCGTCACATCGGAAATAACATGCATCTTAACCTCTCTATTGTCTTGAATGCCACCCATTCCATTTGCCTGCAACACACTGGCACATGTATTAGTATTTCATAGATCATAGGCTGACTCCGAACTCTTCTTTTTGTCTTTATCCAGCATTCAATAGTGCGCCCTCCATTAGCCAGTCATCCCTCCGTTGGAGCGAGATACTTCCAAACTGCATCATGTAAGTTCTTGATTGCTTGCACTACCATCTCAAATGTGTCCTCCTGTCTGTAGCTGTGCTTGCTAGAATTGCTTCAAAGTACCCCGTGATCTGCCTTTCCAACTATGCGCTTGCTTTGCGCGCCTGAACTGTATGCATTGCACGCGTGGTGAACTGTACACATCTTTTGCTTTGGCTTCGTGTGCCTTTCTGCACCTGACATCGCAGGCCGGCACGCCAAGGTTGTGAAGCCCTTCATTCTGATCGATATGCAAGACGGAACGAGGCAGGTAACAGTCACTGAGTGGTGAGCTCGTATAGGCGTTGTGTACTCATACATGTACATGTGCATGTGTGAATGTGAATGTGGCTGTGCACGTGATCAGGGCTGCAGTTAGCTAGCATAGGTTTTGTCACTGTTGTGCCATTGTAGCAACTGTACATTCTGAGTACCTCGGTGATTGTGCATAGTCATGCAAGTAGCCTCGAGTCAAACATCCATGATGTGTGGGCTCATAGCTTTGTCTGGTCTTGAGTGGAACCTGCATTGCTACATCAAGGCCGAGATGATGCTGAATACACACAGATACTGTCTTATGCTCTTTGTTTGCAACTGGGTCCGTAACATGTGACCTATCCTGATTGATCGATACATGGGTTTGTCTTGGCTTGGATAAAGTCTGATCAAAGTGCAAAATGTGGACCTTTCAGAGCTGGTTGTTGGGAATTGACGTAATCATTTCCGTCTGTTCTTCCCTTGTGTTATGCCTCGTACAAGGGGTCGTCCACAAATATCGAAGTTTTTTCACAAAACGAAATAATTTCGTTATGGGGTGGGAGGGGGTTGACCAATTTCGTTTCAGAAAACACTGATACATGTACAGTAGGTATCGGTTATAGCGTGGGTGTTTGAAAAACGACATTTGATTCTTATTGCCGATATTTCTTACACACGATAAATCACGTGTGACACATCATATGCGCGCACGCTTGGCATGTGGACACGTGACGTAGACTCTTCACATGATACACACGGATCAATCAGACTCGCGGTCGTGCTAGGCGACTGCGGAGCAGCGGATACGAGAGAAGTCGGAAGAAAGAGTCCGACTGGACAGAAAAAGTGATTCTCCAATGCTCCCTTGGACATAACTCTCTTTTTGTGTTGAATATTATTGTATTGAGTATGCACAGAGCACAGATGTTATTACAGGCGATACACTTTGCACTAATCTGGCATATTTTGCTACACAAAATCCATTCTTAGGGCCGATATATTCCACTATGCGATAATACTGCTTGTAAGAATAAATATACACATAAAATATGTGTTATGATTATGAAAAAATGAGTGTTCATTCTTGTAAGCAGTATATTCTTGTTTATCACTCTCTTATTATTGACCCCCACAGAAACTTGTGATCTCTAAGCGGTCAAATATCAGCATATATTGACCGCTTATATTGACCACTTATTATTGACCACTTAGCCCGAGGACTTAGAACTTTTTCCTCAACTAATTACTTAGAAAAAAATCAGAACTGAAAGAAGAAAAATCTGAAGCCAAATGCTGGGATTTGAACCCAAACTGTCAGATTCTCAGTCAAAGAACTTGGGGAACATACTACAAGAGACAACTGAAAACTTTGGTTTACACAGAAGTAATGTCCAATGTAAATGGCATATGTACATACTATTATACTATTACAATAGTATTCCTTTCTTCCTATTGCAAAGCAAAAACAGTTTTAGGTATGCTATGTCGTGATAAATCTATTATTGCCCTCATAATCGGTCAATATATGAAATATAGACCTCGTAAAAGACCTCGGGGGACCTCGGTCTTTTACTCGTTCTATATTTCATATATTGACCTCTTTAATCGTGCAATAATAGATACATACGACCACACTATAACCGATACACACTGTACACGGCTATAGGATCAGTGACACACTAGTCACTTGCGACTTTTGCATGTATTATGTCAACATTTTTTACGTTCTGAGGGGGAGGGGTTAGGTCCAAACTAAAATAATTCGTTTGGTGAAAAAAGTTCGATATTCAAGGCATATTACTGTACTGATATTATTTTCTTCTCACTCTAACCACAAGTACCTATTACTGTGTATTTGAGATATCGGCGATATCACTGGCTTCTTCCTATTCCTGTGTTCATTCCATGTGTGTGTGTGTGTGTCTTTGTGTGTGTGTGTGTGTGTGTGTGTGTGTGTGTGTGTGTGTGTGTGTGTGTGTGTGTGTGTGTGTGTGTGTGTCACACGTCTCCAGTACCTGGCTCAACACAAATGCAAGAAGTAACTCTGCCCTCCTTGCCTCTTTGAGGCACTGCATCACCTTTAGGTGGCAGTTTCAAGGTTCAAGGTGTGTCTGTCTGTCTGTCTGTCTGCCTGTCTGTACATGTGTATGTTTGTGTGTGTGCGTGTGTGTGTGTGCGTGCGTGTGCAGGTTTGTGAAGCCCGGAGATGTCGTCGGTAGAGCAGTCCCGATTTGTGAAGTCCAAGAAGATAAGGTGCTCATTTGTGTTCTTAAAAGACGCTCAAACCGGTGTGTGTGTGTGTGTGTGTGTGTGTGTGTGTGTGTGTGTGTTTGTACATGTGTGCGTGCGTGCGCATGGGTATGAAGTCAGGGTAGAGGACAGCAGAATGGCATTAACTCCAATAACGACACAACGTTGACTGGTAGAGCCTGCTGAGTAGCGCTGTGAATGCTGACTAAACTGTAATACTATTCAGCCGCCTAAACGTGTGTCTCAGATTTCGTTTGCCAATTGCCGAGATGTTCTCCATTGAATGTGTGGCTTTATTTGAAGGATTTGTATTTTTTTGCCCCAATCTGTGATCTTGTGCTGGTTTCTGTTGGATGTTCGATCTGTGATCTTGTGCTGGTTTCTGTTGGATGCCTTCAGATGTCTGCTACCCTGAAGAGCCCAATGGCTGGTGTAATCAAGGCCACGTATTATGAGGTTGACCAGATAGCAAAGGTCGGGGCCAAGCTGTTTGACATCGAAGTGGAATATGACAGTGCCGTGCCCACAGGTACGTGCATGCAGTAGTTGTACATGCAATTCGAGCGCAGGCACACATGTTGTGTCCAGGCTAGCACATACACCGGCCCTACCGGCATGTGTGCTCAAATTTGTCACATTCACACATGGTAGCCCATGTACCCTCTGACCCTATCGGAGAATAGAGCTGGCCATATGATGTACATGTATGCAGCAGTGCTTTACTGCCATTCACCGGTTGTGTTTCCACCGCCTCTTTTGTACACATGAGATTAGCATACTGTACTGGTGAATTAAGTTGCAGCGGAGTCTTGGCACGAGGCGTTTTTTAAAGGGGAAGTTAAGGCAAAAATTAAAATTTCACCAGTTGTAGTCTTCGGGGTGCTGAGTCGAATGGTCTTGGTCCGAGAAAGCTGAGACGCTCCCTTCCTACTTGAATCCCAATCGAACTCGCGCACTTCCACCGAAACTGGGTGACAGCGCCCTACTAGATGGGGATTTGTATGCAAAATGTCACTAAAAGCGCCGTTTCGTTCTCATAAAAGCACGGATGACCGCGATTGGCCCATATGTTGTAGTCTTTTGGACGCTGCGTCGACTGGTTTTGGTCCGAAAAGGCTGCGATGCAGTGTTCCTCCTTTATTCCCAATCGAACATGGTTGAACAAGCGGTCACGTGCTCCTGCGTACGCCAGTCACCTGGTCACCGTGCCTGCAGGGTACAACTTACTAGCCTGTTTGACCTTTTTTGGGTGCAGTCCTGTCACTCGAGTTGAACCTTGGTGTGAAAGTTGTCGCCTGCTGGCGTGGTGACCAGGTGATTTGGGCACCCAGGAGCACGTGACCGCTTCTTCAACCATGTTCGATTGGGAACAAAGGAGGAACGCTGCATCGCAGCCTTTTCGGACCAAAACCAGTCGACTCAGCGTCCAAAAGACTACAACATATGGGCCAATCGCGGTCATCCGTGCTTTTATAAGAACGAAATGGCGCTTTTAGTGACATTTTGCATACAAATCCCCATCTAGTAGGGCGCAGTCACCCAGTTTCGGTGGAAGTGCGCGAGTTTGATTGGGATTCAAGTAGGAAGGGAGCATCTCAGCTTTCTCGGACCAAGACCATTCGACTCAGCACCCTGAAGACTACAACTGGAGAAATTTTAATTTTTGCCTTAAGGAGGTTCGCGACGGTTAGCGCCATGTTGGATTTCCGAATTTTTTTCTGAAAAATACTGCCTTTCGGAGTGGAAAAATGGGACTGGATCATGCACAGAAAATAGTTTGACCATGACTTCGCAGTGCTCGAGTCGAGACAAGATTTGAGGAAGAAGCTCAGCCACTAGTGGACTTGCGGATTTGTTTTGACATTGGTGGTTTTTGGATAGCTCGGTTCTCCTGCTGACGTGTCCTGGAGATAAAGACGCGGGAGAGTAATCCGTCACCCACGACGCGGCCTCTCATTCTGCGTACTGGACGATGCAAGAAGCCGAGGAGGGGGACGCTTCGCAAACTCAAACGATCGATCGAGTTCCTGAAAAACGGAAAGGGCGATCTCCATCACTAACGCCACTGGATTCGACTCCCGCGAAGAGGTCGTTCAGTGCCCCTCTTCACGGTCGACGAATCGTTCATCTCAGGTATCTGGCCGTGGGATTGTCTGCGTGCCAGAATCCTGGATGTGGCAAACCTCTGGCGCTCATTGATTGCGTTGAAGAGAAGAGGTACGACCTGGGCAGCGTACTTGTCATTCCGTGTCAGCAGTGTGGGATGGAGAATTTTATAGATACAGATAGCCCTGTAACTGCTCAACACCCTGGCCCCCGTGCTTCCACAAGCAACACCAAAGTTGCTTTGGGTAAGTGCGTTTTTCAATCTCATAAGATTTATTCATGATATTTGGGAGTCATTGGCACCCTATGGTTATGGAAATGTATGAGCACACTGTATGCGCGGCGGCCGCGAGCGTCTGTGTGTTTGCATAGACCTGCATGTTTGTGCATGTGTGCACCATACGCATGTATGAACATGCACATGCATATGCGCTCATGTGGACGTGCCCTCGCACACATACTATACACACGTGCATGACCGCTCCCAGGGCATGTTGGTGTTACATGTGTATGCGGGCATCTCCACTCATGCACATGAGTGTGCACATGCATGTGGGTGGGTACGCACACGTGCGTGAATGTATGTGTGTGTACGCGCGCGTGTGTTCTATTGCGTGTGAGAGCATGCATGTGTGTGTGTGCGTGTGCGTGTGTGTGTATGTGTGCACGGATGTGTGTGTCGATGGTGTGCATTTTTGTGATTGGTGAACACTCTGATCCCTAAACCGCGATACCGGAGCTCCCAAGCTACAGCCTCAGATTGATTTATAGTTCATCGTTGGGAATGAGTTCGCTGCTCATGATGCTGTTGTGGATGTTGCGGCCCTAGCTGAAATTGTCGAAGCTCGCCCTGATGCCAGTATCCTGTAGCACTCTGTCACTTTTGCATCAGCATGTTCGGTGATGGAGTTAGCAGAACATCAGCAAAAGCGGCTGGCCACCCTTCAACCGTTGGTCCAAGCAACGTGCTTCTCTAAATCAGTTGCAGTGCGGGCAGCTGCCAGTGGGTTGGTGATGAAGCACTTTGTCTTGTCCTACAAACGAAGTGGTGAGCCAGCCATTTCCAGACTGATGAAGGAGCAAGTCGGAGGTAAGAAGCGGGGGACAGTCTCAAGGAAGATTATATTAGTGGTGGCTGAACACCTAGCAAAGAACCAGCAGCAACCCAACTGTAAGGAACGCCCTGTGGCACAGTGCTTCACTTGTTTGTGCGCACCGTAAAATACCATCATTTTTGCCAGTGTGGGGACACGTTCTAGCTCGCATAGTTGAAGAACAAGAGGACTCAATGTTGTCTGATTCGTTCCAACATGTCAGCTTTCATTGTAGTTTGATATGGGGCAGTGCTAAGCGCTATCATAGCTACATGTACATGTATCACAACCAAGTGCCAACAGGAGAGTAATCATGGAGAAAAGTACCTATCGAAAATGCGTGCACCCAGGGTTTTCCGGCAAATTTACTAGTTCAGCTATTCCATCCTTGTATTGTTCTAAACGCCGAGGGCTCTAGTGAGTTTATGCAACACCTAACAGCCAAAAATCCAATAAGTTATGACCAAAGCAGCAGCAGAGAAGTACAAGCAATATAGATACGTGAATTTACCAATTTTAGGCAAATTTTGACAGTTTTTTGGATTTTTCTCCAGAATATGCACGGTGACCCCTATTTTCGCCGCGGTAAACCTGTTCCAACCCACTTATAGAACGTGTTTGAAGTATCCACATATGGGGCAAACTCAAAAATAAGCTGCAAAAAATATTCAAAGTTTCATTTTTTGCGTCTTTTTGTTCTTCTCCAGGAAATGACGACCTGGATGCCATCGTCAACCAAAGTGTACATTTTTCGGTGTTGATATCATCTTCGTCAATACCTCGAACAGTCTGTAAAATTTTATGTCATATTTTCTGTCCTAACTGATGTTATGGACGATTTCTCATCAATTTTGGGATTTTGTGTTATTTTGTGTCATCAAGGAAAATTGTGTTTTTGGCAAGACCTATTCGGGCAATTGAAAAACTGATGTTACTAAGCGAAAATATAAGGCTGTACCTATTCAAACCTGATGTCAGATTGGGCTGATGTTGAAATTAAATTTTTGGGGCTAACTGTCCCGAACCCCCTTAACTTCCCCTTTTTAACCCTTTGTGAGTCCACTGGTTTTGGAGAAAATGATCAAATTTTCCATTCCGACAATAATCCCCTGTAACTCCACAGTTTTTGAGAATTTGTATTTACAAGTTGTGTTTTTCTGAATGGAATCGTTCAGCGCCACCACGTCCATGAGCAGCAACGGGAACAGGAATAGCAATATCGTCAGCCGAATCGGATCCTATTTCCTCCAAATCAGAAAAGAGATCGTCATTCAAGCGATCTTCCTCGTCAGACGAAACAAAATCGTTGTCCGAGTCTCCTACCTCGTCGCCTGAAGAGCAAGCGATATCCTCTACTGGGAGATCTGCTTGGTCCGCGTCTTGTATTAGGCGAAGAGCCTCGTCTGCATCCATTGCTGGAGAAGTCAAAATTCTAATTTTGACATATCGCAAAATCACTTTCAAAGCGTGCTATCAAAAAAAATTTAGTGGCGACCTACGTCATGTGTAGTACCTACGTCACGGAAATCTTCTCAGCTACGCGGTGGTGAAGCCTCGGCGCGATGCGGTAAACCAGTCAAGCGTGACGATCAAAAATGTCACGCGCATTTGAAACGAGCGAACTCGCTCGTTGAGTGCACAAAGGGTTAAACACTTCGCCAAATTCAATGTCTTTACTCTTCAATCAATTTGCTGGAGGGAATGCGCTGCTATAATCGGGCTGGCATTTTTCTCCCGACCTGACTGTGCTGTAGTACCAATTGTTGTTGATAACAGTACATGTGACATAGCACCGCAGAATACTGATACACTGTCCCGGTGTCCGCTGCCCTGTGGGTGAATTTGAGTGTGAGAAGAAATTACATTCTGCCTGAACATGCTGTTTGCTAAACATTTGCGTGTGCAGAGCTGAAAAACGACCCTAGCGTTCAAAGGCAAATCAGAAGGAACGAGGGCAGCAGTCGTTTCAAAGCGTTCAACTTGCTGTGTTTTTTTATTTGTCGCTCACAGAAGAAGATCTACCGGTAGCAGCACCAGCAGCATCAATGCCAGAACCTACACTGAATACACCAAGCAGTGACTGTGAGGTATGGATATGGCATGGGATTACTGATTTATGCAATGAGTGAACAACCTTTTTCAGAAGAACTGAACTGCGCTTTTCTCTGCTTTCAAGTTGTTCTCTGGCTTACATAGACCACAGAGATGATATTCCTATACTTCTAGTATTGTTGACAGCTTGAACGTTTGAAAAATGCAGTTTCCCCATTTTCTTTTCACCCCATAAGTATAACAAAATGCGTAGGTATCCGCCATACAATCATTTATGGGGTCAATGCAATCCACGTAGGAACAACCAACTTCATCACTAATACCACCGAAGTTGCTACTTCTAAGTCCTGGGGTAAATGCATGCCAGAGAAAAAGCTTGGAATAGAGAAAATAGCACTTCTTCAGACTTCTGTAAAAGTCTTTTTCACCTCCAAAGTGGTTTGATCTACCTTGTTTAGTGGAAAGGTTTGTCTTGCTACTCCTTGATTGAGCTGTGTGCCCTCCGCCGCCGGGTGCTGAATTGTGTACCGTATTTCCCCGAATATTAGTCGCACCTCTTTACACTAAAATTCAAGGGCGAAAAGGGGGGTGTGACTTACAATCGAGCATGACTTACTACTGAAGAGAATATATCTAAACAATATGGCTCAAGCCTGAAGAAGGGGGTGCGACTTTTAACCGGGGAAGTAAGGTATGCCTGTAAGTAACTGGATTTCACCTGCAGCAGCTACATTGTATAGATGCAATGCTTTGTGGCTTTCCGTGCAAATTGCTTATCAGTTAATTTCATTATTTCCTCTGCCCTCCTCAGGATCTCGGCAGAGCTCGGGTACTTGCCACCCCGGCAGTGAGACTAATAGCGCGAGAGAACAATGTGAGTTCACTGCCATGAATAATGACTGTGTCTAAGTTGAGTTCTGCTGGCCTGGCCACCTCTCTGTGTCTCTCACACTCACTCACTCTCTCTCTCTCTCTCTCTCTCTCTCTCTCTCTCTCTCTCTCTCTCTCTCTCTCTCTCTCTCTCTCTCTCTCTCTCTCTCTCTCTCTCGCTCGCTCATGTCTTTAACTCTCTATTCCTGAATACTTTGGAACTGTGGCTATTTGCATATGTTGTTGTTGCTGTTGCTCCTGCTGCTGCTGTGGTGCAACAACAGGTTGATCTTGGCACTGTTCCTGCCTCGGGCAAGCAAGGGCGTGTTCTGAAAGAAGACATTGTTTGTTTCCTCTCTGAACGTAAGACCGACATTTCAGTATGTGTGTGTTGTGTGCGTGCGTGGGTGTGCGTGTGCGCGTGTGTAGAATTACAGGCCCCAATGTGTGAAGTATTTGGCGACTAGACTCTCTTGTTTTGGTGCAGGGAGTTGTACCACAATATTGAACGTCCTTCGTGGCATGTTGTACCATGGGTTGCAAAAGCTGAACTTTCCTCAGCCGTGCCAGTCATGTGTAGCAGTTAGCTTCGCAAAGAAGTGATGATGTGAATCTTGCTCTGGGCGCCGCTGCATGCACAAACCTCACATGCACATACACGTTCTATAGTAGAGCCGGGGCCCTGTGAGGTACAAAGGTCCCCCAAATAACACAACTAATATATATAAGGAACAAGTTTCAACAACCACATGAAACTGGCTCTTATTAGGAAACCCCAGGGGAAAATGGGCACATTGCAAACACTGATCTGGTTATTCCAGTGTACCAGGCCGATACGCCGATGCAGCCAGAACATGTCGTACTGCCAGAGTAGAATTTTGTATTCAAGCAAAAAAAAGGATAGCATGTGAAGAGCACTTTTTTAGGTGCAGCAGTAAACAATTGAACTTTGCAAAATGTGTAGGAATGGAAATCTTCAGTGTTTCCGCTTTGTTGTTGTATTCAGGCACTGCCGTCGTACAAAGCACAGTCTTTCTCTGGCCCGTCCACTTCCCGGAAAGCGTGCATGCAAAATAATATTATTATTGTTATACGCTTCACTGCACTGCATGCCCAGATAAGAAAGAGAGCGCATGCCAAATATAGCAGAAGCATTCAAATGACTCCAACCAGGGACATCTTCATAATGGCAGGAATAATACAGTCGACCTATCCTTATAACGATATTTGCGTCAGACCAAGAAAGATTGTTATAAGGGTAATATTGTTATAGGGGTAACTGGATCATTTCATACACATACGTCATAATGCATGGCTTTGGTTCATTTTTTACACTCTTCATAGCATAAAAAACTGACATACATCATTTTACATGCACATTATGTACATAGCAAGGTGCCCACTGGTGCCCCCATTGCATTTCGTCATGTCCCAGCGACTTATCAAGTGAAGCTTGCCCTACCTGGATAGTGGACTCTACATATTCCCTGCTAGATATTGTTATAAAATGGAAAATGTCGATTGGTCAGCCCATTTTATATTGTTATAGGGGTAATATCGTTATAGCAATATTGTTATAGAGGTAAGGCATTGTATACACAAGTCAGTGGAGTGATTTGGTTTGGCAGAAAAATATCGTTATAAGGGTAATATCAGGGAGTCGTAAAATACCGGGAGGCGACACGCCACACATTTCACCATCCGAGGATTGCCGCACTCGACCCGCGAAATTTGAAGCGTGATTGAAACGTCGTCGTCATCTTCTTGTTCTCAATTGTTTTTGCTATATGCTTCGAGGCTATTCTGGATCTCCAGAGCGAAAGCTGGTTGTTTCTGATACGTACCACGCATTACCTTAGGTTGAGCCGTGGCTTTTAATTTTTTTTTGGAAGTTCACTGCTTTGGAGACGACGGAATGTCAAGGTAAGTTATTCACGAAATGTACTCAAATTTGAATTGAGTCAATGCGAATGACACCCTGTTTTCGGACTAGTTCTCCACTAAACACACCATGCCCATGGCCCCTTCATGTTGTCCAAGTTCCATTCTAGGTTTGTGTGAAGTTTCGAGATGAAGTTCGACGATGTACTCACCTTTCCATGGAAGGGAAAAAAAAGTAGCATATCAAACAGAATCCATGCAGTATTTGATGCCACTATCCTCATTCTTCTGCATTCAAAGTGTTTCACATCTATATGGCCCATGAACTGCAAACAATATTCGTCATTTCTTAACTGTTCATAGCTGTTCATAACTGTTCTGAACACATTGCCTTCAGGAAACGTAAGGCCGAGTCGCCTCACCGACTGAGCAAAGTTCTCTGCGACGAAAGTCACACTATCGGCGAATGCACTCAAGGTGAATACCCGTCAATATCCTGTATACTGCTTGTACCGCTTATCACAGTAGCATACACACAAGCACACATACATACACACACACACACACACACACACACACACACACACACACACACACACACACATGCATGCTCGTGCACACACAAGCGCAAAATTCACATATCACTGGTTCAGTTGTTTTTATCTGTGTCGTATTTTGTCTTATACAGAGCTTCCGAGCCACGCAGAGTCACCTGACCAACTGAAGAAGGTTCTGTGCGACGAAAGTCACACTATCGGCGAATGCACTCAAGGTGAATAAATACCCTGTGGACTGCTTATACCACTTATCACAGAAGCACACACACACACACACACACACACACACACACACACACACAAGCGCAAAATTCACATATCACTGGTTCAGTTGTTTTTATCTGTGTCGTATTTTGTCTTATACAGAGCTTCCGAGCCACGCCGAGTCACCTGACCAACTGAAGAAGGTTCTGTGCGACGAAAGTCACACTATCGGCGAATGCACTCAAGGTGAATACCCTGTGGACTGCTTATACCACTTATCACAGAAGCACACACACACACACACACACACACACACACACACACACACACACACCATTGACCATTGGACGCCCATCGCCAGAGGCGATGATAGCGATGCTACAGCAGAAGCCATAGCAACTTGTGCTGGGATTGCACCATTCAACAGCTTGCAAGGCTGAAGAATTGACCACCACTATTCAGCCTGGTCTACACCACACAGCTTTGAAGTGGCTTTTTTCTGGCCAGTGAATCCCTACTTTTTGGTCTTTTTTTCTTCTTTTTTCCCGCACACACATCACACCACATACTCCGGCATGCACTGGCTGTTGGTAACCACCCAGGAGAATGAAAGAAAAGTCAGGAAGAGTCTGAGAAAGAGAAGAAAGACGTGTGTGACCATAATCGTCGGGAATCGAACCCGCAACCTATCGATTGGAAATCGCTGCACATACCACTGCACCATATGGGACACACACACACACACACACACACACACACACACACACACACACACACACACACACACACACACACACACACACACACACACACACACACACACAAGCGCAAAATTCACATATCACTGGTTCAGTTGTTTTTATCTGTGACGTATGGTGTCTTATACAGAGCTTCCGAGCCACGCCGGGCCACCTGACCAACTGAAGAAGGTTTTGTGCGACGAAAGTCACACTATCGACGAATGCACTCAAGGTGAATACCCTGTGGACTGCTTATACCACTTATCACAGAAGCACACACACACACACACACACACACACACACACACACACACACACACACACACACACATATCACTGGTTCAGTTGTTTTTATCTGTCTTCTTTTGTCTTATACAGAGCTTCCGACCCAGACTAAGTCACATGACCGACTGAGCAAAGTTCTGTGCAACGAAAGTCACACTATCGGCGAATGCACTCAAGGTGAATACCCGTCAATATCCTGTATACTGCTTGTACCGCTTATCACAGTATCATACACACACAGTATGCGCACGTGCACTGCAGAGCATGTAGTTGAGTTATTAATACTCAGTCAGAACATCAAGAGAATCCATGAAATGCCTGCAGAAAAACAAACAAACAAGGGAAAGCAATTTATTGGAACGCTATGAGAACCACCCCACACCCCAAGTTATTGCACATAGCCAGTCGTATCTGCCCGTAGTAATGGTCAGACTTGTGCAAAGGCTACAGGGTTTGATGCACCCTGTGCAAATTCGAACAGGTGAATGCCATAACAAAAATAATCGTATCACCAATGTTCACTTTGTGTTGTATTTTGTCTTATACAGAGCTTACAACCCACGAGGAGAGAGCGGAGAAATGCTCGGCCCCTGGCAATGACTCGAACGCAACAACTGGGGCACCACTGTCTTGGCGTGGTTCAGTACCACCCTCAGTCCGCGAAATCCTGGTCTACGCGGTCCTGGTCTACAGTGATAGTCAGGAACCGTATAGAGCTCGGCTTCCGTCCAGCAAGCTCTACTCCTCTGCTGTGATGGTCGCCAACCAGTTCCTCCAGTCGAGGGAACAAATTAGTGCCATTCAGCTATCGAATTATTTCAACCGAATCAAGAAGCCTGGGAACTACGGAAAATATCTTGGACGCCTGCGGACAACACGCTTCCGCACCATCATATCGTCCGTCGTGGAATCGTGCAACACGCAGTTTCGGAAGGCAGACAGCAAGTCTCTAGATGGCGGCGAGGTGTTGGAGGTGAGGAAAGTCGTTGAGGGTGCTATCAGCCAGTGGGCCTCACCACCCACACCCCCCACACCCTCCACATCACCTACACCTGCTGCCATGGACTTCAATGGCATTGCGGCGCGCATCAACAGCATGGCACGCTGGAAGGCAATTGAAGACGATGACCTAAAGGCACACTATTTTAGCCCAAGGCCTGGCTGTCCCCAGCTAACTGTACTGGTGAAGAGAGACTTCACATTCCAATTGTTGATGCAAAGTAAGATCGTTGACATGACCAGAATATGTAAGCCTCCGGAAAAGCTTCTCACCTGTGAAGATATAGAGACCGTCGTGTTAGCCATCGAGAGAGCCGATAATTGCCAGGGCTGCAGATACGACAAATACAAAGATTGGATTGAAAACCGGCTCGATGGTGGAACGTTCAAGAATTCGTCTGGTGCGGTAGTTGGAAAACTCGAAACATGTGAACCAACACCATGCATACGAACAGTAGCATGTCCTATACTCGTACCTGCTGGTACTAGTTCCGTTTGCGCTGCTTGTAAAGCTTTGGATGGTACCCTGAGAAGAGGCTTGTCCAGATTTAAAACCCGAGGCACTGAAACAAGCCCACATACCGCCTTCATCCATCTACCCCAAGCCAAGCTTGTTGACATGCTACGTGAGAGGCGGGACAAGACTAGCCTCGTGACCAGACGATTGGAGCGCCTTGTTGCCTCCAGAGAGAGAATGGAGACTACAAAGCACAATGAGGAGTATGCATCCATATTTCGCCAACTAGAACCAGCCATGAATGCAGTGCGTGAGCGTGTTGAGAACCCAACTTGCAAGTGGGCAACTTGCAGAGAAACCTTTTCAACTATAGATGACCTGCAAGTTCATATCCATTTCACTCACCTGAATATCGAGGAGACCTCAACACAACGTCAGCCCCTCTACAAATGCCGCTGGGAATCCTGCAAACACACCGAATTCAAAAACAGGCAGGAATTCAAGTCTCACATCACAAGGCACACTGGACGACAGGAGGATTCGTTCTTTGCCATTCTTCTAGCTGACCAGGCAAAAGCATTATCAACATCGCCCGAGCAGATGCGTTGGCATCCAGCTGTACTACGGTGGTGCCTTCAGCAACATTCCCGGTCGCAAAGAACTTATGAAGTGCTGAGGAACAGCGGGTTTCTGCGTCTGCCAAGTGGGCGAACACTATCGCGTTATTGCAATTACACACAGCCAGAAACAGGCTGGAAGCCAGCAAAGATGGCAGAAATGCGTCAACTATATGAGAAATTTATCGAAAGTAAACGTGGCAAGGGTGATCGAAGTTTCATCGGCGGCCTCTACTTCGACGAAATAAAAATCAAGGAGGGACTCGTCTGGGACTGTGGCACTAATGATCTAATCGGCTTTGTGGACAGCGAGGAACCAGTTGTTGACAGCAATGATAAACTGGTCGCAACACATATTATGCAGTTCCACTTCAAGTCCCTTTTCTCTAATTTTAATTTCCCCTGTGCATACTTCAATACGAACTCACCCACCTCCAGTTCCATAAACGACATGTTCTGGACTGGCGTGGAGCAGCTCCACAGTTATGGATTCCGGGTACAAGTGTGTTGCTGCGACGGTGCGGCCAGCAATAGAAAGTTCATGATGGACAACCAGGCACTTAATAGTGAAAACCCTGGCTCCACCCTCAACCCGTACGGAAACTGGCCACTCTTTTTCCTGTCAGACCCGACCCACCTCATTAAAAAGATGAGGAACAATTTCTCAAAGAGCGGATACGAGTCATGGTGCACACGCCTCCTAACCATTAACAACAAGCCTATACTGTGGAGCCACATTAAGCAGGTACTCAAGCGGGATCAGGGGAGAATGGTCCAATGCACACCCTTGAGGGAGCAACATGTTCAACTGACGTCCTTTTCTAGGATGAGTAGCCGGCTGGCGTACGACGTATTTAACAAAAGAGTGGAAGAGGACATGCAGGACAACCAGCAACAAGACACAATCTCTACCAGGGAGTTCATGCGTAATGTTAGGGCACTGGGTGATGTGTTTTCGTCCCATGAGAAGGTTTCGAACCCACGGGACAGTATTCCCCGCGCACTGTCGGCGACAATGCAGTGGTTTGACCAATGGCATACACAAACGGAAAAGGTGCCAAAAGCATTCATCTCACACCAGGTCTACACGGATATGAAAATAACGGCTGGTGGATTTGCAGGACTGGTACAGTTCAGAACATGTGACCCCAGAGTGAAACACCTTAACTTGTACATACTTCCCCATCGATTGACACAAGACTTTGTTGAAAACTACTTCAGCCTACAGCGTAGCACAGGCGGTGCAAACCAGAATATGACAGCCAGGGCATACGGCTATCAAGCTAATGCTATTGCTCAAACCCATGTCATACCCAGCAACCTCGGGCGAGCTGCTCTTGATCTGCCCTTGACTATGAGGAATACCAGCAACGCCCCAAGTGCGAGCAAATAGTGCACCAACCATCGTTTCATATCAAATCGCAGGCGGCCATGGTGTAAGTTGCAGTGCATGTAGTGTGAGGACACGAGTTGTGCAAACTGCGTCAAAGCTGTACTGTAATACAAATGACACAAGTGTAGGTAACTCACCCCAGGATGATGCAGAAGCTTCGTCACTTGAGTGATCTTCTCGGCTTTGTTAAATCGGGATCCTGATGTCCCTCCGAGATACTTCATGAGGGTTGACAACTGCAGAACTGTGAGGTTTTCCAATAATGATTCTGGCTTTGATTCTGTTCGGAGGATTGTAGCAGCAGCTTCCACATCGTTCATCCGCAGTTTCTGCCGCACGATGCCTTCAGCTGGTGGGGCCTGAGGAGACGCTTCTTTTTCTTTTCATGCTGCCTCAAACCTGTGCGCAATGCAATCGACTGGTTAGCCGGCGATAGTCCATACTGCTTCAAAAGCTGCTTCTGCTTGCTCTTCATGAAGTACCGGATAACAAGTTTCAGGAAGTCATAACTGCGATTCTTATCTTGGACTATATCATTAAACAGTTGGCGGATGAGGAGATTTGCTTCCAGGTGCTCTTGCATTGCACTCACGGCGTGTTGCTTGTGTGTGTTGAGCATGCTGGGGAACTGGGAATGGGTTATTAAATTAAGCTGGTGAAACAAGGAGCATGCAGCAGGCACAAGTACAAACGTATGCTTCTGCTCTTCATGCTGTGTTGCAGCTATGGGTGCTGCATAGCCATGGTCACTGAGCGGTTGGTCATTTCTGGGCAACGCTTGATGCTCAGATGTTTGGAGAATGGCTCCAAAATTCTCCAAACAAGGCTGAAGGCTTGTCACGGCATCCTTGCCAAATAAAGGTATAAGCTGCAGCAAGTTGTCGTTGCGACACCTTGCTCCTTCCAGCTCACGCCGCACGGCCACCAAGCACCAACCACCATGGTACTTTTCAGCAAGGTGAGACAAATTGTCAATCACCGGTTCGGGGATGGCTTCAGCAGCTTTGGATGGTGCTATTGACGCTTTCCTGATAGCAGCGGCAGCCGTGGCATGCAGGTAGCTTATCAGATTCGCTAGCACTGCAGATGTAACTTCCAAATCTGAAGAAGAGAAAAGAAAAAAAAGACAACATATAAGGACTGGTGGTTGCAGAGACTGTACTAGTATTCAAAAGCCAGCGTTTGCATACCTAGTCTGCATACCTAGTCAGAAGCCAATTTTTTTCCAACATGCATGCAAAACGCACTGACCTTCACAATTGATTTTCACTTCGGGAATAGCTGTTGCGATGACGGACAGCATTTGTTGCCATGCTTGCGAAATATCAGCACCCTTGCATGCCTTCAGCTGGCACACTTCCTGGCGTAGCAGATTTGCAGTACCTGATGCCTTCTGTAACCGTGTCGTAATAACATGCAGGAATGACTCCGTCGCCTCAGTAACACTCGCCTGTCTCATTGTCAGCAGTTTGCAAATTCCATGGATCACTGCACCTTCCATAGGCCTGTACACCATGATGGCACTACCACTCTTACATCGATCTGCACATAGACAAAGTATGGTTTGAGGATGGAGGTTTACATCATCTACGGTGATGATACATACTAGGTACACACGTAAATTTTCAGGACTTCAATAAATGAGCCAGAGCACGCGAAAAGGGTGCTTAGCCTCAAATTTTGGAAATTGGGTTTTTTAGTGCACCATATACCTGCAAGCTTCACAAATCATTTAAAAAAAAATTAGTCAAAAACTCCCAGTAAAACCTAAGTTACAAGCATTTGTGTTGGTTGCGGTCTGGCGGTCGCAAACACAAAAGCACGCCTGCCACGCTAGTTGCAACAGATGTAACGGAGAATCATTCTGGACAGTATTTTGTCATGGTTTGCCATCTAGCACCAAAGAGCCATGTAAGTATCAGGTAAGAAGCATCTCTAGACCAAACACTTCACACAATTTGTAGTGTTTACGACATTATTAGTGAGGACTGGCTAGTCCCGGCCAGAATATCAATGTGCCGCAAAAGGCAAATCCAGCAATGCATGACACACATGCAATGGTGGTACACAGTCAGTAAATTACTCGTAGTATAAAGAGAAAAAGGGAGATTAAATTTCAGAGAAGCAAATCTGATTGATTGAGAGAGAAAATTTAAGTTCACAGTGGTGAGCGGCTTTGTACGTCAAATATGCAGGGAGAAACACTGGCGGTGTATCAGCACGACCACGTAACGGCGCTGGATGTGGTATACCGAAGTCCTGAACGAACGCTGATATAAATTCCACACATCGTTTCACATCGGCGAAATGGAGGGCATTGTGAGGACGGCGATGAGTGTTGCCATGTGTCCTGGGCTCAATACCATGCTCCTCAAAGTGCTTGCGCAAGTTGTCCATGCGCTTTGTGCCGATATTGAATACATGACGGAACGCAGTGACGCACACCGCACACCGGCAGACCTTGAAACGAGTACACAATTTTTTGTCTTTTCCTCTTCCCAGGCTGGTCAGTGTGGGCAGTGTGCTGCGCAGAGGACGACAAAAGCCCAAGAATGAAAATATCGCTCTCAGGCTTCTCAAGCTCGTGCATCGAAAGAATGGACGCTTGAATGTCAGCAGCGCTAAATTTCTCCAAACAATTCTGTTTGCAACAATCTTTTACAGCAGCTGCAGCAGCGGCTTGAGGCTGAGCATGTCCTTGCTGCTCCTCTTCAACAACAGCTTCTTCAGCATCCATGTTCAGGTCCAGAAAATCAGCAGCTAAAGCTGTCGAGTTGTCAGCTCTGTCCAGGAAGTGCTCCAAATTCTCGCATCGCTGACATCAGCAGCAGCGCCAGTAAAGTCATCATCGTCGCCAGCAAGTACACATTTCGCGTATCCACGTACTTTAGCGTATCCCCGTACGTAAATTCATCATCGTCGCCAGCAAGTACAGCAGCTAGTGTCTTATCCACCGTGAACCAACGACGACTGGCCATGTTGAAGACAAGGCTTGAAGCGCATCGAAGGAGAATCAAACTAAAACTTCAAAGCGCGATGAAAAAGCACTGATCGAGTGCATGCACCCATCCGTGCTTTGCGCAAGTCGATGAACACCGCCAGCAAGTACAGCAGCTAGTGTCTCATCCACCGTGAAACAACGACGACTGGCCATGTTGAAGACAAGGCTTGAAGCGCATCGAAGGAGAATCAAACTAAAACTTCAAAGCGCGATGAAAAAGCACTGATCGAGTGCATGCACCCATCCGTGAAAATCAATGTTGCACGACGATGCGTGGGCCGATTTTTGATCTGTGAAAAGTACATGACAGCTGAGTGTGATGGCTATCTCGAAAGCTAAACGAAATCACACGGAATCGCCAGCTTACTAGTGTAAGCCCGCTTGAAATCTGCGTAAGTTCATCGAAATCGTGAAAATTTGAAGTGCAACTTCAAACGCGTTTTTCTCAGTTCAGTGTGCAGTGAGCTAAGCACCCTTTTCGCGTGCGCTGGCTCAAATATCCTGTCACAGTGAACAGACAATGCATCGTGGGCAGACTAGGATGAAAAGGATGGTGTCGACCACCTAATTTATCGGGTCAGTTCGGGCACTTAGGTATGCTACAGATTATACATTCGTGTCCACAAGGAAGAGACAAAAACATGCAAACGAAAGAATCTCACCTGTAGCCCACAGCTGAACATCCCCACAACTCAGGTCACCAAGTGAATACGTGGCGTCATCTTCATCTTCCACGGTGGACTCATCACTTTGGCAGTCATCTCTGTCAAGCTCCATCATCCTTTACTTCGAAGGCCAAGGCAGAAAGTATTATTACTTAGAAAAACAAAACGAACTGCTGACACTGGATTCGTTGTGTGCAGGATAATTTTATTGAGTTTTCAAATTTTTTGGACCAAACAGCGAACGCGTCCTTTTGCATGACCTGCGCCGCTTTGACCTCATGCCATGGGAAGTCCCTCGCCATGCAGCGCGTGAGGTCTCAGCACTCGTGCCCGAGCTGAGGCAATCATCCGACGCGGTTGTGCATCTCGTGTCGCCTCCCGATCCCGGTATTTTACGACTCCCTGGGTAATATGTATGTATTACGAGGTATATTAGGGAGGTTTAGTTCCCACGTAACGGAAACGCGTACGTGGGTGATCCACGTAAAGTGGATGAAGGGCACCCACGTTGCAATGTTGTGTTTAGTCACACGGAACAAACAAAAGCATAAAGCGAAAGGCCCAAACCTGGTCAAAGACGAAGCTACCCGGGCCTAAGAAGCTCATCGAATATTTTGATTTCGTGCTTCGGAAACTTCTTCAGCTGAGCACCCTCACAGCTTGCACAATGCGCTCCATTCTGATTTTCACCCACGTTCTGGCGGAACGTGGGTGAGCCTCCATACACGGCATGTCGTGAATCAGAAAACGTCTGTACGTGGGTCACTGAGTATCACGTGGTACACCCACGTAAAGTACCCACGGATTACGTGGGACTAAACCTCCCTACTATGTATCAGATTGCAACGACCAGGAGGCTCTTAGTAGTGGCTGCAAATGACCGATATCCGTCACTTGCAGCTGTGCATCAGAGACCTGTAGCTGGCCTGAAGAGTTGTAAAATTACTCCTTCGTAGCCGGGAGAGTCAGAGCGAGGGCGATTCACGGCTTGGTCAAAAAACTGTCGGCCTGGAACGTAAACGTGGATCTGCCGACACAGTTCACCTGGTTCACACGCCTGACCTGGCATGCTGCCTTGCGTGAAAGGAACATTTTTCCGAAAGCAAGCTTCTTCTCCAAAATTCGAAATTTCTTTCCAAAAATGCCGTCGTCCTTGACCTCGAAGCTGAATGTTGTTAGGACAGAAAATTAGCGAAGATGTAGCCGACCCATTCTGGCAAGCCGTGTGCCCTCTGGATATGCAGTTGTTCGCCATGGTCAACAATCTTCTTCTCCTTCGTTCGTACTTTCACTTTCCTGACCACGAATATAAGCGGTACCCATGCTCAGGTTAGTGTTTATTTGTCTGTCTATGCACATACATGTAATACAATGTACTGTTCGTGCTGCAGGCACTGGCCGATCATGGAAATAGAGGAAGCAGCCAGCTTTCTTTGAATTCTCGTGCTTTCAACAAAAATATGTACACACTTTCCTTGGCACCTCTTTCCCACCGCCACCATGCATGCACAATCGAGCTTGCTTTAATGCCCTGCAGTGCAGAATGCTCCCACCACCGCAACTACCACCGCCGCCACCACTACCAGCAGCAGCACCACCACCACCACTGTGACCACCACCACCACCACTGTGACCACCACCACCACCACCACACCACCACTGTGACCACCACCACCACCACACCACCACCACACCGCCACCACTACCATCACCGTGACCACCATTATAGAAGCATTGTCGTGCACGGCACGTCTGCAAGAGAAAATAATAGTATGCCAGTGCTGTAATGCCCTGCAGTGCAGTATGCTCCCGCCACCACCACCACCACTAACGTTATGGAAGCATTGTCACGCACTGTACATCGATCCACAAGAGAAAATAATGCCAGTGACTTACTAGCACCTCCATGCTGCATGCGGACCTGGACACAGCACTGTTCCCTCTGCAGGAAAGGGGCGGGGGGGGGGGGGGGGGGGGGTGTATTTCATTGTCCCTGCCTGAAGTAATAATGACTACATGACATCATATCCAGCTAACTTTGCCGGTAACGAACGACCCTTGATCGGGCATGAGAAAAGTGTTGGTATTTGGGAGTTGTCGTCATTCACGGGGTTGAAAATATACGGCTATATTGTTACTAGGTCTGAAGATAGTGTCACTATCCGTGGGTTGTTATACCCGTGGTTGACTGCAGATACGTTTGGATTATTCTATGAGTATATGAAGGGTCTACGTTAAATATTTTCCTGAGGACATAGCACGAGGAAATTATGGGGAATGCAGTACATGTATAGAATGGTGCAATCCATTTCTCCCAGGGCACTTTCCCAAGACTCCTTCTAATATTCACTCTTGGCGCGACCCTTGTGAACTGAGCGGGGTGTATCGTTGAATATACCACTCTCAGAACGTCTACTGATTGGCTGAAATCGCCCAAATCATACCGTTCCATGGATCAATGCATGTCAGGGAGTCGTAGCACCCAAGGAAACAACACGAGATCATGATACCCAAAATGATGTACTGTAAAAGCGGAAATTTTCAGTGGTGTTTTATTTTCGGTAACTTCGGTGCCGACAATTTTTACCGAAAAAATGCACCGAACTTTTTCGGTACTACTTAGTGGTACTAGCACCCTTACCTGGAAAGCGGGTATTACCGAAAATTTCCCTCCACCGAATCGCCGATTTTGGAGAATTCCGAAAATATTACACCACCGAAAATTTCTGCTTTTACAGTACACAGATTGGATCCATGGAGATTCTACATGATCTGTGGTTTATGCAACTCGTGATTGCGGACTTGACCCACTGGCCCCAAGCATGGGTCAGTCAAGCGATGCTATATGCGAGCATGTATGTATCGCACTTGCCCCTAAGGCAGTTAGGGCAACTGTCACTGGCAGCCCAGGGTTGAACCCACATTATTGATTTTTGAAATTTTCTAGGGTGACACGAAAAGCTTCATGCACTGGGTGGTCACTCTCTATTCATGTATACCACTCTGCCAATAGTGCATAGAGCTCTCTTTTGAGCTGCCCAGCTGGCCCTCGTTATGATTTAGGCTGAAAGTCTACCGTGCCGTCTCCCTTATGCTATGACTTTATAATGCATATGTACAGAAGAAAAATCCCGGGACTCCGTTGATGAAATTCTGTTTTGTCAAGTGGGCATTTTTGATTATTGTGAATGGCGTGTAGTGCCATAGTACAGTTCCTTTTGCTACATAACGTTTGCACAAGTCACCTTTCAGCAATTGAACTAGGAAGATCTATGTCTCTGATCTTGTCATTTGGCCCGGCTGGTGCTGTGCACTAACAACCATTGTCAGGCACCCTCGAAAGACCAACAGCGATGAGTTCATGACCCAAGCATTATTTGGGCCGTTAAGTTGACTAAACGGGAGTGTAGCAAGCTTTGATCGGCGTGCTTGTGAAATGTTGTCCGAGCTGAATAAATTCTATCTCCTGCGGTTTAGTACAACAGTTTCACACCTAATACTGTAGATTCGACGTCTCCAAGAAAAACCTCCATGGAGACTGGAAACTATAGCAGATCATAAATGATGCAGCAGCTCAGCTGATTCCTCAGCTCGTGTCTAGGTTCATGTACTTTGGTAAACGTGTTGTGGCAGACTCCATGTGCAAAGCTGCATACTCTTGGGGTTATTGATTCTTGCTGATAATTCCATTAACGTCATTGCATAGATATGAACATCATAATAATTGAATGTTGGCAAGACCCAACAAGGTGTCCCTAATGACTTACATCAGATCTTCACAAAATGCACATACTGTAAGACATGATTAATTTTTATAATATACAATCATGTCTTACAGTATATATTATAATAACGAGGAAGCAAATCTAACGTTTTAACGGATGACATTTCTTCGTTATAATAGATCCGTTGAGGCCGTACTGCTTCATATATGCTGTGTGTGGATATGGCAGAATACTGCAAAATTGTTAACATATCTTCTCGTTAACCTATGAATTTTGGACAATCGTTAAATTTGCGACTCGTTATAACAGCATGTCTTACAGTACATCTTGAAAAGTCATATTTTGGTTTCACATACACGTCACATTTCTATCACAGAGATCAGTAGCCATGGGCCATTGGTGGCAATACTGGTAGGAGTCGCCCGAGGCTTAGCCAATAATTTCCGTTCTATACCCAATATACATACCCGAACTGGGCAAAAATCTATCCCATTCCTTGGTGCTGACCCCTTTGATGCGCCCCCGAATCCCTTAGCATTATTAGTACCTCCAATTCATTTCATCATCAGCTCACCGCATGCTCAGTACTGTGTTGTAAAGTATGCAAATTGTCGACGCTTTTAAATTGCAGCCTCCCCAGGGCAAAAACACATCTCGGCCACATTGAAATTTCAGCCTGTGCTGCTGATGCCTGTATACACTGTCACATTGAACCTTGCAAAACAAATTTTAGGCTACAAATGCCCAGTAAATAAAAGGGGAGAAGGCACTGAACGAAGTGTCAACTTACGAATACAACCTACGAATACAACCTCAGTGCAACAACATGCTCTTTCTCTTTCTGCTTGTGTAAGCAGAAAGAGCACGTTGTTGCACTGAGGTTGTATTCGTAGGTTGACAGTGCGTTCAGTGCCTTCTCACCTTTGGTTACGTAATCTTGTTACCTTTTGCGTTTCCTCTAGTAAATAAATGACAACCGCTCTATTCAGTTGCTATTCACTCCTGGCGCATGCGCTGGACGCAAAATTCTTTTATTGGTGATGTCGAAAAAGTATGCGGTTGTCAGTTGACAAACCCCCTTTTATTTACAATTCAGTTGCGTGATGTCCACCACTTTCCGAATTAAAAATGCACAGGCCGATATTAGCCGAAAATAAAATATGCGCCGAATATGCAGTACCTTGCGCACTCTGTTAGAAGACATTAGGGCTACTGGTAATGAATGCTCAAGTAAAATGATGAAGTACAGTAATACAATACTATAGGGAGTTCATTTGGCATGAATGCACCAAGCCAACTCTCCTATACAAACAGTATAGTGTTGCTGCCAAAAAATATGATTAGCTAAAGTTGCCTTTTTGCATTATTATGGTTGAACTTTTTTGCCTGTAGCCTCGTTCCCATGCTGTGGATTTAATCACGAAATTTGTTAGCAAGACGAAGAGGTTTTATGTGAGCTTACTATTATTCTACCTGCACTTGCTTTTATCTTTTTTGTGCAGGACTCTGAGAAGCTGGAGGGACCCCACAAACCTCAAGCATTGAGGATACAACTTTTAACCAAGAACCAGGCAACATGATGTGCATGTATCACGTTCGCTGTGATTGCATCGTTTCAGGGTACACTGACAACATACTAGTACTAGTAACTAGTCCTTGATTAGCAGCAGTGGCCTGAATTATTGCCTGGCCGCTATTCATATAATCCTTTGGTGCTTACTCATCGCCTTGTTCTGTCTCTAAAATGGCGTATGGGTGTTCTGAGGCTTGTAATATTTGCTCAAGCCGCGCATTGGCATTGGTGCATGTCAGTAAATGCCAGCCACTGCTGCCTAGCTCAACATGTTTTGTATGATATAGAGTGCGCTCTGTGTATCTACAATCGAGTGACCTGCTTGTGTGGGCTAACTGTAACTACACCAACAGTTGCACTAGTATGTGCACTGTGCTGGCACAGTGTATCATACTCAGTCTTGTCACTTCTTCTCCCACGTTTACTGTATTGTTTAATTCACTGTACACATCTTGCCCAGCTCCTCTAAGGCCACACAGAATTAGTTTGTTGTTTTGGGCCACTACACTCAGCTGGTGTAAGGTTGGTCTGCTTCTCTCTTCCTTCTCTTCGACGTGTCCAGCCAATCATTCATGTCAAGCTTTGCATAACTTAGATCACTGTATATACAGTCACCTGGCTGGAAACGTCCATGGCTGCAAAATCCCATCTTTCTTGAGGGATCCCATTTTATAGAGTGGACGACATTCACTTTCCTGATAGACTCACCTCAGATGTTGGTACACTGTATTGTACCCATCCCTGATTTGTACATGCACCACTTTTTTGGCAACTCCGAACAGTGAGAATGTCTGCTGTGGATAGTTCTCATGCTTTAAACTCATTCGTAAACAAGTACGGTATAATACCACCAAAATGTAGTTCATTACAAGTCGTCGATTATGATCCTTTGTTGAGACGAAAGCTTCGGGACCTGGGAGTACTTGTGACATACCCATATCATACTCTCTCAGGTTCTGAAGCTGTGTGCTGTGTGCCAGGGGTTATGGCGATCGAGTGCATGTATGTTCAGATAAGGGCTTGGGAAAACACTCATCTAAAACATACTCATTTCCTCATGCATACTTTCATTTCTCATTCTTTTTGGCACACACTCCAGCTCCTCGAAATTATCATGGGATGCATGTTGATGACAGCCTGCTGCCATGCAGCCTGAGCAGTTCGGACAATCAATCATTCGGATAATCAGCATTCTATATTACTACAGTTGTAGCAGCTGTATTTCATGTACAGTACTACAGTAGAGTCAGGTGCCGAAGAACGTGTTGCCCAAGAATGTCCAGCCTGAAATGCTAAGAACACCACCTTAAGTTTAAAGGAATGGCGGTGTTGGTTTTCCGGTAGCTTTCGGGATACATAATTATGATCCTAACATGATTGTTTCTAAGAACATGCTACAAGAGCGCAGCCGGATGGCTGAAAAATAAGAACACCCCAGGCTAACCTCTTGGACACAACGTTCTTGGACGCTCGACTCTACTGTAGTATGGAAGAACACTCTTCGGCAGGGATGTTACATGTTAGAAATCATGCGTACAAGATGCCTATTTAAGTCTGCTCTTCTTTTATGACAAGCTTTGGCATGCATACAGCTCTTAATAAATCCCAAAGGTGGAGTGCAATGACATGCATTTGGAACCGTGATCACTAAAATCCTGCGCTTACCGGTAATTCTAAGATTTAGAACTATAAGTGATGTTGCACACCAAAGAACGTCGTTCCGAGGGCCTAGGCCGGGGGCGTTCTTGGAAGAACATCATGCTGGATTGTAGATAAACTATATAACCCGCATGTGTGTGATAACAAAAGCTGCGTTACAGTGCGGAGAAACTAGTATAACATACTAATATCACCAGTAGGTTTTCTAAACTTCTTGTTCTATACTGAGAATATTCCAGCGAGTGAATCCAGAGCAAGTGCTATGGAAATGGACTAGCGAGAGCTCACAATAGCCAGACAGACCCACGAGTCCTTTCTTGAACCGAACAATAATCATCTATGGCATTCAACATGCAGTTTGGGAAGCCATGCAGTCCTGGGACAAATATCCAAATGCATTCTTGTCTCCAGACCAAACAATGATTGTTATCATATTTGACAATTTCCAACTCTACGACCACCATGCCAGCTCAAGCAAAAAGAAGCAAAGGAAGACGGAGATTTCTACTTGTGCAGCCATTAAGGGAGGAGCACGAAGGCTGTTTCAACATTACATGATTCGACCCTGCCACGCACTTTCCAAAAGTGTACTTATCACACACCACGTGAACTCTTAGGCTGTTTGCAGTGCGATATACTTACATGTGCATGCCCTTGCCACACATTCACACTCCAGTACAGAACATAATTATGCAAATATGTAATGCACATAATGTAACATTCTACGCTTGAAAGCAGATCAGCATTCGAACTTTTTCATTGCCTTCAGGCTGCAACAGCATATTGCAAGAGGGCACAATGGTCCAACCCAACATCTTCCAGTGAACACCATCGGCCATGGCAGTACAGACCATCTGACATTCACTCACACCACCCACATAGAAGAGAAGCAATGTTGATACTTCATAGTTAACACGTTACAAATACTACTGAGGGTGCATATAGGCAGTACACCAGGTTCAGGATGCATTGATCCATTCTTCTGATTCAACTACCTTAGCTGCTCATTTGATCTATGGCTATGCATGCTGTCGTCAGTGAGCCACATCATTGCGAAAGACTGATGACGGAGAGATCATTGCGCGTGTGTAGTCACAATACTATCAGAGAAATACGTTTGGCAAATATAGGAATACGGTGGACAAAATTGTACACAATAACCTGCCTTGAAGCAAATCTCAGAAAGAAAGCGCTGTGCAGATGCATGTCAGCCGCTTCAAATTCAGTCACTTCGTGAGATCCAATATTCTTCCAACTGTACTGTTCAGCCTTCGGTGATCCACAGAGACAGACAAACAATCTGTTCTGTCCTTCCACATGAGAAACAGAGAGTGAACATGTTCCAGTTCATTCCAGTATGAAGGTGGCGGATACAGGCAATGAAAGTCATCGTTGGGCCAACATGACCAGCCTTCAGACATGAGTTCTCAGAGACCTTCGCTCATGATAATGGTATTCACCCTTGGCTACAATCCTGCAAAACACGTGAAAAGATTGCAGCAAAACAAACTGGATGTTATAAAGAAGCAATTTAGGAAAACTGAGCCTATCGTATTTGTAGTACAGTGAAGCTAAGATACAACACCCAGCAGGCAGGCAAACTTGCTAATATCCGATGAATTAGCATGCCTAGTCATGGCACACCGGGTGCAAAATATGCAACCAGCATAACGTTTCCACCAGTATTGATAATCTATCGTAACGTTATTATCAAACTACATAACTGCTAAGAATGTGCAACTACTAACATAAGGTGCGATCGGCTTCGAAATCCAATGATTATGAGCAAGCGCGCATATATTTCTACATGTGCCATGTAGATAGAGTGTTTCATCAGGTTCAGTAGGCATGGATCCACAGTTCATTGTTCTGCTTCAACTACCGTAGCTGTGATGTACAAGTTTTGATCTCTGGCTACGCATGATGGTATTAATAAGCCCAATGGCCCACAAAAACCGAAGTGATGAAACTTTCTGCCATGGGCAGAGGGATCATCGAGTTGCCCACTCTTGGTTATGTACTCATGCCATTACCAACTATCAGTGCACAAGTACTGCTACGCCCTCACTATGATCCATTGCAACAATATCACCAGGCACATGCATGCTACTGCACCCATTAAACCAAGAGTCGCAAATAGGAAAATCTTTGCTGTGAACCACAGCTAGCTATAAGGTGCTTTGAGTCCATTTTTGCGGGAAAGTTGCACTGCATGATGCACAATACCACATTGAGCGAAATTCTTTTTTTCACATAGCATGAAGTGTCTCTCGAGAAATGCAATGCACAATGCATAGCACATCGCAGAAAAATCTTGTATTGCACCTGTAGTCTAAAACTGCTTGCCAGCCAGAGCTCTTGAGTCACATGCACCAGCATGCAGGAAGTGATGCCCATCACGTGTCACCCAACCTAGAAGTGAAGCTGGACTCAATTTCCCGTGATACGACCTGTGATGGAGCTGCAACAACCAGCGATGCAAGTTTGCAGTCCAATTATTTGAAACTGGCCCGCTATGTTGCTGAGAATGTACTCAAGGCAACATTTGAGAAATTACCTTTCGAAAAAATGTTCGGTACAAACATGGCCGGATATTGTTTAAACTTTACGGTACTGTGTGAAGAAAACAACTATTTTATTGCATAGACTATTAAAAGGAGCTATCCAGCATTATCCATAATTTTCACGAAATGAAAGAAGGACCCTCCTCCACCCCCCCCCCCCCCGATTGATGTCTGTAAAAAAAAAAAAAAAAAAAAAAATTTCACGGTTCGCGTGAGACTCGGCCAAAGGCCCAGTTTTCCGCATCCGCAGGAACGCCACCACCCTCTTGGATCAAGGCGCAGATGCAGCTCCTAAGCGGTGGGAGGTGAGTAGATCAGACCCACCACAAAGTGGTCAAAGACCGAAAATCCCATTCACTGCATCCATGTTTCCCTCGTGCCAGTGTCTGTAATATCAATATTTTTTCGAAACGAAACTCCCCTTGACCCACCCACAAACGAAACTTTTTCTCTTCGTGTAAAAGATCGACAATTATGGACCCGGCATTATCGATAATTTTCACGAAGTGAAAAGTTTAGTTATGAGTAACTTGTGACCGTCCCCCACCCCCACCTACTCACCCCTCAACGAAAAATAGCTGGAATGGACTAGTGTTTCAGCTATCAATATTTTTCATTACGAAACCCTTCTTGACCCACCCGCCCATGAACGATTTTTTTTCTCGTTTCAAAGATACTCAATCTGTTAAAGATAGATAATTATGGACGGCCCCTAACGTACCAGATTAAAAATGAATGGACCGTAGAAGATTGTTTGTGATATCACACGATCAGAACAGGTGACAACCAACACTACATGGCTGTATACTTGATGTGCTGCATTTACTGGGTGCAACGCAGGGAGTTGTAGCATCTAGGTAGACGGCACAGGTGACTGTAAAGCTAAATGACATGGGGTTCGACCCAGGGGTTCCTGTTTCAGCCACCCTTGGGGCACCATTGGGCAGATCTATACACGCTCGTACATGGTATTGCTAACCTGGGCCGTTCTCAGGGTCAGTAGGTCAAGGCCGTGATCGCGGGTTGCACAGATCACGGAGAACCTCCAAATCCTGACCCAAAGTTCTATAAAGTATTGTGTAGTCTCCCTACAGTGTAGGTGCTATGACTCCCTGGTGCGATGTACCTGCTGGTAAATAGACAAATTGCAACCAGGCCATAATTCGGATAGAGCAGACGATCCTGTCCTGGACTCTGTTCCACATTCAAAGTATCTAGACTCATATAGTGAGGGAGGAATATTGTGGTACTGACTCCGATTTTCATGCGCTAAGAAATTATCAAGTACATTGTATATGTAACTGTAAGTGATAATCACTCAAAGTACGAAGCTAACAGTAATATTCACTGGTTAGAGGGAAAGGCACAAACGGGAAAGGTCTGAAGAAAGAATTGACTGTCACCACCAGGATTCGAACCAGGGACCTTCGCTTGAGGCCAGCGATGCTCTAATCACTGAGGTAAGGTGTAGCCGTCATCTCAGCCGAGATCGTTCAACATTTTCTTCAGACTTCGTAACGCACACTAACAACATCAGCTAATGGTATATGTACTCTTTTTCGATAGTACATGCAAGCTCTACCTTGTGATGTTGAGCTCTCTTCGTTTGGTGGGGGTACTCCGATCGTCTAATGTGAACCACAGTCCACCTACAATTCTACATTTGCAACGTTGTCCAATGTGCATCGGCACGCATTGTACATAACTGTTACAGCAGAGTGTAGATTGTCCGCACCCCTCGGGCGCACGCTTTCTCCAGGGGGTTCGGATGGGGAAAAATTCGGATAACGGAGCAGTCACACATCCATCTAAGACTTGCACATTCCTTCACGTTTCCATCAGTTCTCACATTCTCTTCACAGGAACTAGACACACTCTAGCTCCTCAATCTGAAAACTGGCATTTCGAATAAGTGATTGTTCGGAATATCGGCATTCTACTGTACCGTAAAGTCGCGGATAAAAGCCGGGCTTATAATATAAGCACATAAGCCGCTTTCTCCATCAGGTTTTAATGCAAACCATGCTTATTATGCACCACTGATATTTTTGCCAGACTTGTATGCCAGACTTCTACTTGCGACACGCGTAGATCTACCACTGACTACCGGTATGGCGGCAGTTTTACTATGCACCATACATAGCGCATGCACTCTTGACCCACCTGATCCGCGCTTGCATAGAGCAAGGCTTCTACGCGCGACGGGCTTATATGCATTCGACCCGTTTGATTTTCAGGCTTCTATCTGCGATGTGCTTGTATGCAAACCCGGCTTTTATCCGCGACTTTACGGTATTCATATTCACGCTCTGGAACAGGAGATCCTAGTTCGACTCAGACTGCCCTTTCCATAATACGTTTCCCATGTACTCGCAGTTCTTTTATCGGAACATCTTTTCTTCCCAACCTCAAATCCTGTGCAACACCGGTTGGCTTTCCTCAGTTTCCTGAATGGTGTTACCTCTCAATAGAAGCATGAGTGGCCATTTAATATACCGGTATAATAAAACATGTCCATAATTATCGGAGAAAGGATCGGATGTGGCTAAATAATTTGAAACTGTCCACCTCTCCTCAATGCGCTCTTGGCCCACATTTACCACACCATAGCGAGGAAGTTTGTTCTTGGATAGATGCTCTACATCCTCCAGACATCTATCCAAGAACAAACTTCCTCGCTATGGTGTGGTGAATGTGAGCCAAGAGTGCAGTGGTGGACAGTTGCAAATAATTTTACTACAATGTGCTAAGCAGAACAGAGGCACTAGCACCTGGGTGGAAACTATTCTGAATTTTGAATGCCAGGGAAGGCTGAAGGATACCCATGAAACCACTGCCAAAGCAAACACAAATTTGAAAAGCATGCATGGTGGCGGTGGGAAAAAGGAGCCAAGGAAAGTGTGTACATATTTATGTTGAAAGGATGAGAATTCAAAGAAAGCTGGCTGCTTCCTCTATTTCCATGATCGGCCAGTGCCTGCAGCACGAACAGTACATTGTATTACATGTATGTGCATAGACAGACAAATAAACACTAACCTGAGCATGGGTACCGCTTATATTCGTGGTCAGGAAAGTGAAAGTACGAACGAAGGAGAAGAAGATTGTTGACCATGGCGAACAACTGCATATCCAGAGGGCACACGGCTTGCCAGAATGGGTCGGCTACATCTTCGCTAATTTTCTGTCCTAACAACATTCAGCTTCGAGGTCAAGGACGACGGCATTTTTGGAAAGAAATTTCGAATTTTGGAGAAGAAGCTTGCTTTCGGAAAAATGTTCCTTTCACGCAAGGCAGCATGCCAGGTCAGGCGTGTGAACCAGGTGAACTGTGTCGGCAGATCCACGTTTACGTTCCAGGCCGACAGTTTTTTGACCAAGCCGTGAATCGCCCTCGCTCTGACTCTCCCGGCTACGAAGGAGTAATTTTACAACTCTTCAGGCCAGCTACAGGTCTCTGATGCACAGCTGCAAGTGACGGATATCGGTCATTTGCAGCCACTACTAAGAGCCTCCTGGTCGTTGCAATCTGATACATAATATACCTGTGGAATATTGCATGCTTGTGCATGCTTGTTAGATATTGCATTGTAAACCTCTTTTACGGGCCAATAAAAAATAGTTAGATATTGCATGCTTGTTAGAGATTGCATGAATAAGAGTATTGTCACAAACTAATGGTTCGCACCAAGCATACATACAAGCATACAAGCAATTGATTATACATGTACAGTCTTCTTTCTTCTTTCTTCTTTCTATCGTGTCTTCTAAAGTATTTTACTTACCTTTTGCGCCATGGTACGCCTACGACGTTCCCATGGTCTTCACGTACGACATACGGTTTTGGTATATACAGAAGCCTTGCTTGGTAGTTAAAGGGGAAGTATACCCTAAAATCAAATTTTCACCAGTTGTAGTCTTCGGTGTGCTGAGTCGAATGGTCTTGGTCCGAGGAAGCTGAGACGCTCCCTTCCTACTTGAATCCCAATCGAACTCGCGCACTTCCACCGAAACTGGGTGACTGCGCCCTACTAGATGGGGATTTGTATGCAAAATGTCACTAAAAGCGCCATTTCGTTCTTATAAAAGCACGGATGACCGCGATTGGCCCATATGTTGTAGTCTTTTGGACGCTGAGTCGACTGGTTTTGGTCCGAAAAGGCTGCGATGCAGCGTTCCTCCTCTATTCCCAATCGAACATGGTTGAACAAGTGGTCACGTGCTCCTGGGTGCCCAAATCACCTGGTCACCGCGCCAGCAGGCGACAACTTTCACACCAAGGTTCAACTCGAGTTCAACTCGAGTGACAGGACTGCACCCAAAAAAGGTCAAACAGGCTAGTAAGTTGTACCCTGCAGGCACGGTGACCAGGTGACTGGTGTACGCAGGAGCACGTGACCGCTTGTTCAACCATGTTCGATTGGGAATAAAGGAGGAACGCTGCATCGCAGCCTTTTCGGACCAAAACCAGTCGACTCAGCGTCCAAAAGACTACAACATATGGGCCAATCGCGGTCATCCGTGCTCTTATAAGAACGAAATGGCGCTTTTAGTGACATTTTGCATACAAATCCCCATCTACAGTAGTAGGGCGCAGTCACCCAGTTTCGGTGGAAGTGCGCGAGTTCGATTGGGATTCAAGTAGGAAGGGAGCGTCTCAGCTTCCTCGGACCAAGACCATTCGACTCCGCACCCCGAAGACTACAACTGGTGAAAATTTGATTTTAGGGTATACTTCCCCTTTAACATGTTTTTCGATTTTGACAGCATGTTACAAGGCGAGGACGCGTAGTGCTCCTGACTACAACCATAAACCGGTTGGCAGAGTCCCGGTCTTGCGACCATTTGAACCGTATTGGGAAAACCCAGGTTCGGACCCTCGTTACTCTACGGGTTGGTAGGATTTTTATAATTTTCGTTTTTTGTGTTGTAGAAGTCGTCGTGTTGCCGCCGTAGTATTGTTCACGTTGCTGCCGCTGCAGGGATCACGTCTGGAAGGATTTGTGATGTTATTTTCTTGTCTTCCTCTGTAATTAAAGAGGAAGACAAGAAAATAACATCACAAATCCTTCCAGACGTGATCCCTGCAGCGGCAGCAACGTGAACAATACTACGGCGGCAACACGACGACTTCTACAACACAAAAAACGAAAATTATAAAAATCCTACCAACCCGTAGAGTAACGAGGGTCCGAACCTGGGTTTTCCCAATACGGTTCAAATGGTCGCAAGACCGGGACTCTGCCAACCGGTTTATGGTTGTAGTCAGGAGCACTACGCGTCCTCGCCTTGTAACATGCTGTCAAAATCGAAAAACATGACATACGGTTTTCTAGCCCTTTTTCCTGGAGCTTGTCTAGTCTCCTCGTGTCGTTTCTGTTTTCATTGGTTTTGGTTTTACGTTGTCTAATGATAACTATCATAAGCAACAGTTTGAGTTTGAGTCTAAGAGAACCCAAGATGCGCTCGCGTTGAGCCAAAGCAGCCTTACAAAGATAGCCTTTTGTAAATTGGTCCTTCGAGCCGGATCGCCGGATTCGAACCAGAGAAGACTAGAGATGGCAGATAGTATTGGTCCGCAGCAGAAGATCGCCAAGGCTAAGGCGAAGACGGAATATACTAATGTCCGCCGTGGGTTGCTGGTGTCCATCGTATCGGAAACCGTGAGTGTCGAGGAGATTAAATATGGGCTACTAATGCTCGAGAACAGGATGAACTCCGTGATGGAGGTTGTTTCAGAGCTGGCAGATATATTTTGCAAGAATCCTACTTATTTAGAGAGTTTGGCAAAGGAGACTGCAGAATTAGAGGTGTCGTACACTGAGGCAGTGACGCAGGCCAGCACTACTTTAGCAAATATCAGCATGAGTAGATACAACAGTGCACACACAAGCGAAATCACGGGGTTGCGATACACCCGTCACCCAGAGAGAGTTCAGGCATACAGTGCGTATCGGTTATAGTGTGGTCGTATACAAGAATATACTGCTTACAAGAATGAACACTCATTTTTTCACAATCATAATACATATTTTATGTGTATATTTATTCTTACAAGCAGTATTATCGCATAGTAGAATATATCGGCCCTAAGAATGGATTTTGTGTAGCAAAATATGCCAGATTAGTGCAAAGTGTATCGCCTGTAGTAATAACATCTGTGCTCTGTGCATACTCAATACAATAATATTCAACACAAAAAGAGAGTTATGTCCAAGGGAGCATTGGAGAATCACTTTTTCTGTCCAGTCGGACTCTTTCTTCCGACTTCTCTCGTATCCGCTGCTCCACGGCCACAGTCGCCTAGCATGACCGCGAGTCTGATTGATCCGTGTGTATCATGTGTACGTGTCCACATGCCAAACGTGCGCGCAAGCCGCGCATATGATATGTCACACGTGATTTATCGTGTGTAAGAAATATCGGCAATAAGAATCAAATGTCGTTTTTCAAACACCCACGCTATAACCGATACCTACTGTATTTGGAATCCATTTCAGCTACAGACAAAATACGAACTGCACAGGAGCAGCTCCAGTGGAGTAGCAGTAGCATGCAAGAATTAGATACATCCAGCACGAGTCGTAGTGTACAGGCCAGTGGCCAGAGTGAACCCAGTACTAGTGGTAGTACCGTACACATTCCCGCATCGGATGCTAACACCGCAGCTACGGAGCTTGTGTTTGTAGGCCAGGATAGTGCATGCACGAATGATTATGTAGTCATGTCCATGCCTGATGTATCTGGTATCCCGTCAGCAGCTACAGGGGCCACAGGGCCAGCAGCGCGCGACCTCGACCGGAACAACGTCCCAGCAGAGCAGCGCAAGCAGCAACAACCAGGTGCCGGTGTTGGCGTGAGTACAGATTTGCGTCTGGCTGTGAGCAGTAGTGACACCGGTACCAACCCTCGACAGTCGTCAGTCTCGTCACCGTACGACGTCGGACGTCAACAGATCATGCAGAACACGACGAGCACGAGTACACCAGTCTCGAGTGCTGGTTACACCAACACAACACGAACAAACGACGATCGTACATTCACGATCACAGCTGCAACACCAACGCTGCAGTAGTATTGACATAGTAGTATTGACATATCCGCGGCAAGCCGCTTATGTACAACGGCATGGGAGAGGATAACAAAAAATGAAAATATAATTATTGTTGGGGAAATCCACGCTATTATCGAATATTCAACAATGACGGGTGTGGGGTTATACCAAATTCCCATAATGTGGAAGTACGTTATTATTGTTGAAAGCACTAGGTGATCTGCACTCTACAATGTGACCTGTGCGATTATATCGTTGAATGATTGCCTGTTCCGAGCCACCAAACGCAGTGTCTCCAGGTCCTTCAGACTCCGGAGACGCATGGACGTTGCCTTAGCTAATTCGTTGTCTATCACCACTGGTAGGGTGATGCGCGGGCGTCCGAGCCAGCCCCGATTCTGTCGCTGGAAATACGCTGTCATGCTCACCTGTGCTGGAGTTGCTTCAGGGAGGCGTAGAATATGACCAAACAGTTTCCACCGTGCTCTTCTGCTTAGTACGGATATTGGCTCGGCATTGCAGCGGGCATATAGGTCTGTGTTGGAGATAATTTCCGGGTAAGATATCCCTAATAGACGGCGGAGCTGCTTTCTGTGGAACGCATCCATTGCTATAGCATCCCGGGATGAAAGCACCCACACGCCGCAGTTGTAGGTCAAAATAGATAGCACAAATGCATCAAACAACCTCAGGCGGGTTGCTTCAGAGATAACTTGTCTCCGCATCCACAGGTTGACAAGTGTGTTGAAGGCAGCTGCGGCTTGCTGGCGCCGGCGCTTGAGGTCTTCTGTGACTCCGTACAGTGAACCAAGCAACCGGGTGGACCTCCATCGTTCCTCACCTCTTCTTGCAACATCCTCTTCTTGGTATAGATGGGTCCACTCGGTCTTGGTAGGGTTGATGTTGAGGTTCCACTCTTTGAACACTACCTCTGCCTCTGTTAGTGCGCACGCTAGATGTTGACGGTCCGTGGAGTACAGGTTAACGTCGTCCATGTATGCTGTTTCGCAAGGTATGGACATATCGACAGTCGTGTAGGCTGTCCCTCCAATATTCAGTATGGCAGGTCTTGGCGATATCCTGGGACGCAGGCAACGCATGATCAATTGCTGCAATACGGAACAACAACTACAACAACACAGACTCAGTTCAGCCCGTACACTAACTGCGAGTGGTACGTCGTCGAGAGTAAACACAACGAAATTTGCTCAGGGTTTCGGCACCGCGACTGACCCAGCGTCCGCTTATGGTGGTTCAGCAGCATCAGCATCAGCCTCTTTTGGAGCACATTCCCACCTGGCCCCGGCCTCTGCGAGTACGATCCCCTACGGTAGCCGCTTGCCGCTCGACGTACTCGGAGTGCCACAATTACAAGCGGCCCAGAGTCAAACCCCGCAATGGACGCAGCCAGATACGGCAGCTAGCCAGTGGCCGCCGCCGTGTAGTACAACTACAACGCCAAATTTAGCTGGTTCGACACAGTGGTCACCAGTTCCACCTGCAGCAGTGTCGTCCAACAACGCCGCTTTTGGGGTACAGAGTCTACAGACGCAGTACAATGTCAGTGGTTTGTACCCATCACCAGCTCTACCTCCACCAGTCAACGCCGTTTTTGGTGGATCGCCTGCACAGAATGGAAGTGCACTGTACCCAGGCCAACAAGCAGCATCCAATTATGGCCCTTATGGCGGAACCCCAAATGGGTATGGATTGACTGGACCAGTACCAGGATTCACACCTGGTCCTTCGCATGCACCGCAAGGCAATCCACCATCAGACGTTTACCGTCATTTAAGAAAGATCAAGATACCAACCTTTGGGGATTGCCCTATTCAAAATTTAAGTAATAATAATAATAATAATAATAACCTTTGACGGCGACAAAAAGCTATACGACACATGGCGTACGTCTTTCAACGTCTGCGTCGATCAACAGCCTCTGTCACCGGAGCTGAAGCTGTTGCAGCTCAGGCAATATCTGTCCGGTCCACCGTTGAAGACTGTCGAGACGTATGGTTACTCGGCAGCGGCCTACGCAGCAGCACTCCAGCGACTTGACCAAAAGTACGGAGGTGAGAAGCGCAAAACAGCCGTCCACATGTCCGCGCTCCAGGACATGCCAGCAATCCGTGAGCGTGGCACAGCCAAACAGCTTGAGCGTTTCGCAGATCTTGTGCAAGTCGCCAAGATTAACTTGATTGATGCTGGCCGTCAGAATGAGCTGTCGTACGGTACGTTCTGCACTCAGCTGCAGCAGAAGCTGAGCCAAGATCTGTTAACGGCGTACCACCGGTGGCGTTGCGATAACAATATTGTCGAGTCGGTCGACTCGCTATTGCAGTGGCTAGTACGGGAAGCAGATTTCCGCACGGAAGCGGAGGAGACCCTGCAGAGTGTCTCGCATAGCGTTGCAGCCACACGTCTGATGAGCAAGCCTGCCAAATCAGACATTTCCACAGCAGCAGCTCTTACCGTCACCTCATCGAGCGTAGAATGTGTGTTTTGCGGCAGCGGACACGAGTCCTCGCAATGTTCGTCCATCACAGACATCAAGCGCCGCAAGGAGCTGATACGCAAGAATGGTCGTTGCTTCATCTGCCTGAAGAAGAACCACATGGCTCGCGACTGCAAGTCCAGGCTGAGATGTAGCAAATGTGAGCATCGACATCATACGTCCATTTGCGAACCCAAGTCGTCAGAGCAGCCTGGGACTGGCGCGAAGACATCATCCCCGCCATCTAGACAAGGCGGAAGTGGAAAATGGTCGAAGTCAGTGTTTTCGTCAACAACCGCAGCTACTGTCAGCGACAGCGGAGCTGTATTTCTACAAACTGCACAGACCTCGGTGGTCTCGCCTCAACGTCCAGATCGAAAAGTGCCTGTGCGAGTAATGCTAGACGGTGGGAGCCAACGCTCGTATGCTACATCATCGGTACTGACTCAGCTGGATGTGTGCCGCTCCGGTCAAGAACGTGTAGTGATAAACGCGTTTGGCGGCGAACAGCCAAGCCCAAGCACACTCCGGGACGTGGTCGAACTGGACATTCAGTGCGTCGATGGCAACCGGATTCGTGTCAACTGCATCGTCGTGCCATCAGTCTGTGCACCCGTGCAAAATCAGCACACCGCAGATGTAGTCACAGCTTACGAGTCTCTACAGAATCTCAGTCTCGCCGACAACTGTGGCGGCTCAGCTAGCATCGACATTCTACTCGGCGCTGACGTTTATTGGCAGATCGTCACGGGCGACATCGTTCGTGTAGATGATGGGCCAACTGCTCTCGATACTCGCCTCGGGTGGGTTCTGTCCGGACCAACAGGCAGGTGTAATTCAGGCATCATCTCCACTAACGTCGCAACCGTTCACGCTTGTGACGTCGAACCATCTACCGTGCAAGATCCAGACAGCGCTTTGGTCCAGCTACTCCAGAAGTTCTGGCAGCTTGAATCCATCGGCATCTTGCCTAATGAACCGGATACTCTGCAGCTGTTCCAACAGACCATCCGCTACGATGGGCAGAGGTACACGGTCAGGTTGCCATGGAGGGAGGATCATCGCGCGCTTCCAGACAATTACAGTCTGTCCGAGAAACGGCTGCAGTCAACACTCAAGAAACTGCAGAAGTCACCAGAAATTCTGAAGGAATACAATGCAGTAATTCAAGAGCAACTTCAGAAGGGCATCATCGAGGAGGTGCCAACTACAGAGCACGACGTGGTGGGCGAAGTACATTACCTGCCTCACCATCCTGTCATTCGGCAGGACAAGACCACTACGAAGGTTCGTGTGGTGTACGATGCCTCAGCCAAGGTGAAGACGCATCCGTCCCTGAACGACTGCATCCACACGGGACCACCGCTGCTCGAGCAGATCACCAGCATACTGCTCCGGTTCCGAACGCATGCGGTAGCCTTCACCGCAGACATAGAAAAGGCGTTCTTGATGGTTGGGATTGAGACAGCCGACCGCGACGTCCTACGCTTCCTCTGGGTCGACAATCCCACAAGCGCTCAGCCGGTACTCAAGACGTACCGATTCACGCGTGTTGTCTTCGGTGTATCCGCTAGCCCATTCTTATTGAACGCTACCCTGCAACACCATCTCGCCAAGTTTGATCCCGAGTTCACTACGAAGCTGCTGCAGAGTCTGTACGTGGACGATGTTGCGAGTGGCGGCAACAGCAATGCCAATGCGTTGGAATCGTTCAACCGTGCCAAGAATCACCTTGAAACAGGCGGATTCAACTTGCGCAAGTTTGTCTCCAACTCCGCTGAGTTGAATGAGATCGTCAATGGTACCGCAGCGACACCACTGTCGACTAACGGTCTGCCTACTGTCGCCGTGGACAACGACTCGTATGCCAAGACCATGTTGAACGGCTCATCCGCAGCCACCACCAAAGTTCTGGGCATTCCATGGGACAGGACATCTGACCGTCTTACGTTCAGCGTCGACGAGGTGTTCAGCACGACCAAGGTCGACTCGCCAGTGACTAAGCGCCAAGTCCTATCGGCGTCAGCCAAGATGTATGACCCCCTCGGACTCCTGGCACCTATCACCATCACCCTCAAGGTATTTCACCAACAACTATGCCAGTTGAAGATGGGCTGGGATGACCCATTGGAGGGAGAGTGTCTTGGCAAGTGGCAGACGATGATACGGGAATTGAAGGCCATGCCACCAGTCTCATTGCCACGGCACTACGCAACAGACGCGAACGGCAACATCACACGTGTCGAGCTACACGGTTTCTGTGACGCGTCCGAGAGAGCCTATGCAGCAGCCATCTACATTGTGTTCACGACGGAGGTGGGCACTTCAGTACAGCTAGTCGCGGCAAAGACTCGTGTTGCGCCGCTGAAGCAACAGACCATTCCCCGCCTCGAGTTGCTTTCAGCACTGGTATTGGCTCGCCTGATGGCATCCGTCTCATCAACGTTGGCAGAGCTGAAGATTGATCAGATTCTCTGCTGGTCAGACTCCCAAGTGGCACTGGCATGGATAGCTGGAGTGGAGCAAACATGGAAGCAGTTTGTGGAGAGCCGGGTTACAGAGATCCGACGTCTCGTTCCGACGTCCTGCTGGAGGTACTGTCCAACATCTTCGAACCCAGCTGACCTGCCGTCACGCGGAGTGAAGCCCAGCGAGCTCACCAGTACCATCTGGTACACTGGTCCAAAGTGGCTACACGAGCCACAATCCCGAGCAGAAGTCGACAGCGGCTCCGCAGCATCGCAGTGTGAAGAAGTCGAGAGAGAGCGGAAGGCAACATCTACCACGGTCATGGCAGTCGGCGCTATCCAGCAATCTGGTGCGCACCCCGGCGCCATGCGTCCGAAGAGAGATGCTGCCCGGTCAGCTGATAAGGCCAGACAGCAACTGATTAATGCCGGCTCCTTATAGAGCTGCAGCAGCAATTTTCTGTGTTAGATGAGAGCATCACGTTGTACCATGCTCGGTACTCTAGGATCATCACGCTGTTGTAGGAACGAGTCAGGTACATGTAGTACACTAATTTCTAAGCTCTCATCTGGAGGGAGTGTGGAATATTGCATGCTTGTCAATAGTGCATGCTTGTTAGATATTGCATGCTTGTTAGAGATTGCATGAATAAGAGTATTGTCACAAACTAATGGTTCGCACCAAGCATACATACAAGCATACAAGCAATTGATTATACAGTCTTCTTTCTTCTTTCTATCGTGTCTTCTAAAGTATTTTACTTACCTTTTGCGCCATGGTACGCCTACGACGTTCCCATGGTCTTCACGTACGACATACGGTTTTCTAGCCCTTTTTTCTGGAGCTTGTCTCCTCGTGTCGTTTCTGTTTTCATTGGTTTTGGTTTTACGTTGTCTAATGATAAGCAACAGTTTGAGTTTGAGTCTAAGAGAACCCAAGATGCGCTCGCGTTGAGCCAAAGCAGCCTTACAAAGATAGCCTTTTGTAAAATATCGTTCTAGAGGTTATCGTTATAAGGGTAGGTCGACTGTATCATTACGTTTCTTCGGCTGAGAGCGCATGGGGGAGAGGAGAGAATACTGAACAGCATTATGACAGAGTCGCACAAGCAAGGTCGCACTTCCTTCTCTCCCTCTCTCTTTCTTTCCTTCCTTCTTTCTTTCTTTTTCTGTCTCTCTCTCTCTGTCTCTCTCTCTCCAGGCGCGTAGGCAGGGGGGTGCTAAAGCACCCCCCTCAAAAATTTCGACCATGGGTCTGGCTTGGCATGCAGATGGCTGACCGTACCACACTAAAATACCTTCCGACGCCCCTGCTGTGCATGTATCATCAAACAGATTCAGCTTGAACTGTGGGTCTTGACTTGATTTCCAGTCACCAGTCACCTCAGACCTGCATACTATTAATTTTTCTTGCTCTCTATCTCTCTCTCTCTCTCTCTCTCTCTCTCTCTCTCTCTCTCTCTCTCTCTCTCTCTCTCTCTCTCTCTCTCTCTCTCTCTCTCTCTCTCTCTCTCTCTCTCTCTCTCTCACTCTCACTCTCACTCTCACTCTCACTCTCACTCTCACTCTCACTCTCACTCTCACTCTCACTCTCACTCTCACTCTCACTCTCACTCTCTCTCTCTCTCTCTCTCTCTCTCTCTCTCTCTCTCTCTCTCTCTCTCTCTCTCTCTCTCTCTCTCTCTCTCTCTCTCTCTCTCTCTCTCTCTCTCTCTCTCTCTCTCTCTCTCTCTCTCTCTCTCTCTCTCTCTCTCTCTCTCTCTCTCTCTCTCTCTCTCTCTCTCTCTCTCTCTCTCTTGCCAATAAGCGGATTTTTTTCGTTGTCTGATTTTTCCATCGCCACTATGGACATTTGTTCTGCAAGGCCTCTATGTTTTGTTACTTCAAAGCCGCTCTTTTGGTCTATGCTGTGTGATGATGGTACTTTTGTTCGGCGTATTCCAGGCGGTGCCACGGTTTGACAAAGACGACAATGTGGTCAAGGCGCGTATTCTGAACGTCAGCTGGTCCGCCGATCATCGTGTGATCGACGGTGCCACTGTGGCACGCTTTTCCAACCTCTGGAAACAGTACCTTGAGAACCCAGCCACGCTCCTAGCCGATATGCGATGAACCAAGCGGACACATTCGTTTTAACTTCAACTAACCCACTTTTTCTCACGCAGATTTAAATGATTCAAAGTCTGCCGATAACACCTTCTTTCTTTTTTTTACCACAATAAATTCTACTCTCGGAGTATAAAACAATTCACTTTTTGTAGGAATCTACGCACGCAAGGTCGAGAATGGTGTGTTTTAACTGCAGTCAACTGTTCTGACACTTTCATGTTGTCTGGTGATGGTGCGCTTGCACTTCAGTTGTTAAAAAAATTAAAAATACACTGTAGTAAGTATACGTGATGGGCATATGCCGCCTTGCACAGCAGCGTGTGCAACCATGGGGAGTCATTGGTGATGATCACGCTCTCTTCTCCTCATACGTTATTATTATTATTATTATCCTGTCACGCCCATAACTAGCTTGGATAGAATTTAGCCAGGCTTTGTGTCCCATGACCAGATGACTTCTTCAGCCTGGTGTGTGTGTGTGTGTGTGTGTGTGTGTGTGTGTGTGTGTGTGTGTGTGTGTGTGTGTGTGTGTGTGGTGGATACCAGGCTAAAAATAGTGGCGGTCAATTCATCAGCCTTGCAAGCTGTTGAATGGTGTAATCCCAGCACAAGTTGCTATGTCTAACATAGCTGTTCGCTATCATCGCTCCCGCGATGGGCATGTCTGAGGTCTGAGGTGTGTGTGTGTGTGTGTGTGTGTGTGTGTGTGTGTGTGTGTGTGTGTGTGTGTGTGTGTGTGTGTGTGTGTGTGTGTGTGTGTGTGTGTGTGCCTGATGACAGGAGCATTAGATAGGTTGCGCTGAACAAGACGACGTACATCTTGTCGTCGCGGGCGAGGAAATAAATCAGTGTCGACACCATGGTCACTTCCGATGTGACCACTCGTACTGAACCTCGTCCGCCTGAGCGCGGAGGCTCTGCAAACCCCCGCTTAGAGTTCGGCTCGCAACGTGCACCAGCAGCAAGGAGATTTGTGTTGTCCATGGGGACGTGGAACGTCAGAACTGTGGTGAACGTGGACGGCGATTTGAACACTGCCTCAAAAAATATCAAAAATTCAAAAAGACAACTCCGCGAGGAGAGAAAAATCGATCTTGTTTGCCGGCAGCTGCAGCGCTACAGTATGGACGTCGTTGGACTTCAGGAGACCCTCTGGTTTGGAACTAATTCCTACCAAGTCGACGACTGTCTCGTCTTGGCGAGTGGCCGTCCGACTCCGTCTGATGGGGAGTCGGCGCGGCGGGGTGAAGGAGTTGCAATTGTATTGCGCGGTCGTTGCAGGGACGCATTTGTTCGCGGTGGCTCGCAGTGGAAGGGGCACAGCTCGAGATTGGTTTCCGCCAGGGTCAAGTTCGAGTGTGGACGGAACCGTTCGCCGTTGTGTATTCACATCGCCGTCGGATATGCACCGACGTTCGCCAGACCGCGCGCTGAAAAAACTGCGTTTTATGACAGCTTGCAGACCTTCATTGACAGCGTTCCAAAGTCAGACCAGTATTGCCTTCTTGGTGACTTCAATGCTAGAGTTGGAGTTGGCGAGGCAGGGCCGGAGGAAGGAGTTCGGGAGTGGTCCGGCCAACCTTTGAGGGGGGTCCGGGAGACCTCCCCCGGGAGAAATATTTAAAATTCACGTGAAATAGAGCGAATTTGGGCATCTCTAAGGCTCCAGAAAATGCAGAAAATTGTAGTAAAAGAACACAAAACACAACTTTTTTTATCCATATCAGCCATACAGTGCCGGTCACGGAGTCACGGAGTTCCTGAGCTTCTTCGAAGCACATCACACGTCAGCAGTACAGTCGAGTCATGTACCTCTGGATTTTTTACACCGGTTTTGCACGAATCACATGGACCATCCAGCTGGGAAAGTGGTCCGGCCATGGCCGGACCAGCCTGACCGGTTCCGCCGGCCCTGCGAGGTGGATGATGAGTGGAGTGACGTGCGGGGGCAGCATGGTTTTGGTCGTATGAACTCAGCAGGAGAGGAGCTACGAAATGGAGCTGTTGTATGCAACACATTATTCAAGAAGAAGGAAATCCATAAACATACCTGGTTTCATCCACGCTACAAGCACCCGCACTGTATTGATTATTGCATCATACCACAAGCACATCGGTCGCAGTGTTTGGACTGCCAAGGAATACGTAATGCGGAATGCGACACTGACCATAAGTTTCTAGGCATGAAATATCGTCTAGGTGCCTTGCCCAGTTCACATGTCTCCCGCAATGGTGTTGGGCGATCGAAACCCATTGCTGTGTCGCGCCTGCGTAGTGGTGCTCCGGAGGATATGGAGGTTGCGCGTGAGAGATTCTCCAAGGGCATGGATGCTGAGCTGGAGAAAGTTTGGACCCCGAATCCGTCCATCGAGGAGTGGTGGAGTACCCTCAGGACGACCACCATCAACGTTGCCAGCGACTGCCTGGGTCGGGAGAGGCGCCGACAGCCAGAATGGTTTACAGACAAGCGCACTGAGATCGAGTCGGTACTCCGTGATCGGGACAGTTGTTACTCAACCTGGATGTCAACGCGGAAGGCCAGTGATCTGGATTTGTACAAGAAATCTCGTAGTGCGGCGCGGTGCACCATGCGGAGGCTGAAGCGAGACTGGCTGCTGAGACAGGCAAAGGATTGTGAATGGTTTGGCTTGACGGCGAAGAGCGGTTGGGAGTGTATCGGTAACATTAAGACCACCTTGGGTGGTATGCGTCCCCGTGCAGCAACTGCTATCAGAAACAAGCAAGGAGAGATCTGTGACACGGCAGAGGCCACCGGTGGAAGGTGGCGTGAACATTTCGATGGCCTCCTGAACATTGCCAGTGCTTACGACTTGGAGGTAGTGGATTCGATCGAGCAGCGGCCGGTTATGACGGAGCTTGGTGTCGTGCCTGAGTGTGATGAGATTTGGCGTGCATTGCGAGGGATGAAGTGTGGCAAGGCATGCGGCGGATCCGAGATATCTGTGGAGATGCTGAAGTACGGTGGCCCTACCCTGATTGCGAGGTTGCATGAACTGATACGGGTGGTGTGGGAGACTGGCAGCGTTCCACAGGATTGGTCTGATGCTATCCTCGTCCCCATCCCCAAGAAGGGTGACCTGGGGTCTTGCGACAACTGGCGTGGGATATCGTTACTGGATGTGGCTGGAAAGCTAGTTGCTCGCATGATTGCCAATCGTCTGCAGGTTCTCGGAGAAGGGTGCTTGCCTGACTCGCAGTGTGGTTTCCGCAGGGGCCGTGGTTGTTCGGATATGGTGTTTGCTGTGCGGCAGATCCTGGAAAAGTTGCACGAACATGCCACGAAAGGTTTCGCTGTATTTATCGATCTGAAGAAAGCGTACGACTCGGTTCCGCGGAGTGCTATGTGGAGAGTGTTGGCTAGACTTGGCGTCCCAGGGAATCTGATCACCATCATCAGTTCCTTCCATAGCGACATGACTGCCAGTATTCGTGTGGGTGGAGACCTGCTTGCACCGATTCGGGTTGAGAATGGCTTGCGGCAGGGTTGTACTATGGCCCCGGTTTTGTTTAACCTATACATGTGTGCAGTCTTCGAGAGATGGCGTGGCGTGATTGCTGATGATGGTGAGCTGGGGATCCCACTCGTCCAGTTTCGGAGGGAACGGCTTTTCAACACCAGATTGGCAGAGTATCGCAGAGTTCGGCTGACGGAGTGTCAGTTTGCGGATGATTCAGCCTTGCTCGCAGTTACGCATGCTGGTGCTGAGAGGGCTCTATCCTCGTTCAGGGATGTAGCTGGTGCGTTTGGCCTTAGTGTCAATATGTCCAAGACCAAATTCATGGCGGCTGGGGCTGGTATTGTGGATGCCGACCAGACCCCTTTGGATGGTGTTGTTGACCACGTTGAGGCCTTTCGCTATCTCGGTTGTCATGTTACGCCAGACGCCCGGAGCTCATTTGATGTGTCTCGGCGAGTTGCTGCTGCATCGGGTGCGTTCTGTACACTGCGGGAGTCGGTTTTCGCCAGTGATGACTTCAGCATCGCCATCAAGCGCATCGTGTATGGAGTGACTGTCCTGGCGGTCCTTCTTTATGGATCTGAGAGTTGGACCGTCAGGCAGCGTGATGTCCGTCGCCTGGAGTCCTTTCACCTGCAGTGCGTGCGTTCCATCCTGAAGATAAATCGTGGCCGGCAGATCGAGGAGCACATCTCCTCTCTCCAGGTTCGCAGGATGTGGGGCGATATGGAGGAGATCGCGGATAAAGTCAGAGTCCGCCGACTTCGATGGCTTGGCCACGTGTCCCGCATGCCAGATCGGATCCCTCGTCAGCTGCTGTACGGCGCATTACCCTCCAGACGTCCACCGCATGGACCCCGTAAGCGCTGGAAGGACTCCGCGAAGTGCGACTTGATGGCTGTTGGCGTTCCTCTGGAGCAGCTTGGTGACATCGTCCAAGATCGACAGGGATGGCGAGTCACCTGCCGTGATGCTGTCGACGCTATTGTCCAGGCCCGCATGGAGCCTGTGGCGAAGCCCCTCATCTGTGGCACTTGTGCGCGCAGTTTTCGTCGGCCGCAGGACATTGCGAGGCACAAGTGTAACGCTGTTCGCGCGGCCCGCGCGCGCTGAGTATGGCGTTCCCCGCCCGGTGGACAACACGTCTCCTGGTCTGCCCTGTATGGGGCCACATAGCCAGTCATTGCAGTGGAAGAAGGAAGGAAAGGAAGGTGTGTGCAGAGTTGAGCTTGCCGGTCAGTCCAGACCCCAGAGGTCTAAAGTCGGGAATGCCGGCATTTGAAGATTCTCTCCTGTAGATCGAGTTAAACAATTTCCTGGGACAGGAATGCATGCAAACAAGAGTGCATAAACAATTAATATTATTATTATTTGTTTATGCATGCAAACAAGAGTGCATAAACAATTTGTTTATGCACTTTTGATGCAAATGCTTACCACATTTGGCCACAAGTCAGGTGATTCACAACCAACCAGCCGTACCCAAGCCGAAATCTATCGGCAGATCAAAGAGTATAATTATTATACCCCCCTGGGGTGTATATACTCTTGCTGTTACGTAGTGTATGGCTACAGAACGGAAGCTATACACGCAACACGGCTAGCCGAGCCGAAAGTAGGTTGTCATCCTGGGTCGAAAATCTTCCTGTATTCAATAAAGAGCCCCATATTAGGATAACACAAATGAGCCTGGGTTTTTATGAGTTTTAGCATGACATTGTACAACTAATCGTACATAGACTACTGTAAAAACGTTGCGCGTGTGTGGGTGAGATACCGGTATACAGACTTTGTATTCACATCGTAACGCTAAAAGCTATAAAGAGCCTAGGGAGTTTATACAACTCCCCGTTTAAAGCGGAATTCACAGAAGCTTTTTTGCAGAAATTTCTGGAACCAACCAAAAACATCTGTGCAAACCTACAACTTTCACCTAGTTCAACCCTATGGTTCATTTACTTTTATACAGCTTTACAACTTTTCACCTAGCTAATACGGAGGATTAGCAAGACGAAATTCGCGTTCGCGTTCGCAAACATTTTTCAGTTCGCGAACTGGATAGCGAACTTTCGCATTTTTCGTTCGGAAAAGTAGTCGGAACACGAATCGCGGATTCGTGTCAGGGCAGTCATAAATTTACCACGCTGTACTGTCTGTACAC